TCAGCGACTCTGAAAATCCCCGAGAAACGAGTTTCAGGCGATTCCGATGAATTTTTCGAAAAAGTGTCCGACATTTTGAATTTTGAAAAACTGACATTAGATTCGTGATCAGCGACCCCAAAAACCCCCGAGTAACGAGTTTAAGGCAAATCCGATGAATTTTTCGAAAAAGTGTCCGCCATATTGGTTTTTTGAGGTTATCTCAAAATCCTGATCTGATGGGGTAAAACGGACCTCGAATTCGGATTCAGCGACCCAAAAAACATAAAGTAGGCATAGTCAGACCCCCAGATCAAAACTTTTTTTTTTATTTGTGTAGCTGTGTAATTAGTAAAATTTAACTAATTCAGAAGCAAAAAGTGAGTCACAAATTCAAATTAGTAAACATTTTTACTAATTTAGATTTAGAGAGTTTGTATCAAAGAAATTGATTTCTTTGAATCAAAGGATTAAAAAAAACCGCATTTAAAACTGAAAATTTTTGTTATTTTTAAGTGATATACGTTTGAGAAATTCTTATCCGTAAAATAAAAATTTGACGTTTTAAGGAATTCTTTAAAATGTAAATTTCAACAAATTAATTTTAGAGCTTTTTCATATGTCTCGTTAATTTTCAAAATTTGTTATAAAATTTCACAATTTTTTTTTAATTTCAATTTTTTTTTTATTTTAGTATAGACTACATACAGAAAAGATTTCATATAGATAAAAAAAAATTTTAGGCTATTTTATAATAAACAAACTTTGATGTGTATAATAGCCCCAATCACGAGGATAATATATTCACGATTTTTAAGTTTCTGTAACTCTAGCCAAAAAATTTTTTTTGTCAACCAATTTATACAAAAAAAAAATGTTATTCAATTCAAATAATCGGTTACTTGACTATTATCTTAAATAAATAATCAAATAATTTTTATTTGAATTAAATAAATTTTGTATATTTGGACCAAATTAATTGATGAATTCTTTAAAAGAACGTTCACAATATAACGTAATAATTAAAAAAATAAAAAATATTTAATTCCAAATTTTGAGTTAAGTAAAAAAAAAATTGCGTTTTTGTTGCTATATAATTACTTTGGTTGATGGTAATTAACAAACAAAGGATTGTAAATATAAATTTCAGAATTATTTTTTACACTTTCGAGGGTTTTTTTTTCTTTTCTTTTTTTTTAACGCATCCTCAATTAATATGTGCATTGGAAGTTTTTCAGATGAAAAAAAAATGGGAATTCATGGGGATTTACCGATGGAAGGTAATGTGGTACAGAACCGGTTTTATGGTTAACGATACCAAACAGGTTCCAGTTTTAAATGCTTTGGTGGTCGATTCTTGTGTATATGCATTGAAGCGTGATGAAATCGAAAATTAAGTTACGAGAAAGAGAGACAGAGAGAGAAAGAATATTTATGGGTGGGAAAGGGATGGAAAAGCGTAAATTCCAAAGCCAAAGTTCATTCTTCATATATATACACACATTGCCTTTCAGAATCTGTTTGATCTCTGGAGCAGAAAAGTTTGTATGAGATGAACATTTATATTGCCTTTCACTACGCACAACGATTACCAATTACTTTCACGCGCGTTTATATCAACTTATTTTTGATGTCATATATATATATATATATATATAGGTTTTCCATGTATTCATTGCAAAATTAATTTTTTCAGCTGCATTTTTAAAATATAATTTTGCCAGTTAATTTTTTTAAGAAAGTTGTCTCATTTTTTTAATGAAAAAAATTTTTGTCACACATATATATATAAAATTATAATTCTTGTAAAACAATTTGTGGAAATGAGGTAATAATTTTAACGGTTCGTTTCATAAGTGTTTATATATGAAGGTTTTTCTTTTGAAATGATGAGTGGTGGAAATAATTGTAAAAAAAAAGTGGAAAAATAAAACAAAACTTAAGAAATAATGAGAAAATCATTTTTTTTAAATTCATTGTTTTACGGATAAAAAGTTGAAATATTTAACGAATGTATTAACACACATTTTCTTTAATTAAGTTCAGAGTAAAATGTATATAAATAAATAATTTAAAAAAATAAATTTTTAGAGGAAAAAAAAATTTACCAATAATTAATGAAGATAAAGGAATTTTTTTAAAATATGTTAACCTACATTTTTTGTTTTTAGCTTTTTTTTATAAATATTTTGCATTACAATAATTATTGAGATTCCTTGAATTGCACAATTAAGAACTATACAGGAAACTGATTCCTCTCTCTTTCGCTCATATTCAAGATATTTTTGTCGTCGATTGAGGAAAGTAGAAAGCAGTATTCTTGTGAAATCTTCCTTCAGTATATCTTTTCAATATAACGCATTACATGTATGTGTGTATTATATATATATTTAAAAATTATAAATGAACTAAAAAAGGGACGATTTTGCATATAAATGAACTGATGACGTAATATCATTTATGCACAAAAAAAAGAAAAAGAATTGCTCTTTATAAGACAAATATAACAAAGAAAACAAACCTGATACTGCTACTCCAACTAAACATCTTCCTTATTTTTTCTCTTTGAATTTCTTCCTCCTTAGTAGGCATATTTGAGATTTAATTCTTTTTTCTAATTAACTTGATATTCTTCTTTAATTATTTTAATCGCAATAAGGGATCATCACTTCTTTTTTTTTTTGTCAATATTACAATATATATGTTTGATGCACAACGCGAAATTCAACTGAAAGAAAAATATACGCAATTTTTACAACACAAAGAACAATTTATATTTTTAAATTGAGCTGATTACCTTGAATTTAATTTATTTCTACGCACAAATTTTGCCCATATAGTATAATATATATATATTTCTTTTTATAATGTCTTGCTTTCACGATTTTTATTTATATTGTTAAAAATTACTTTGAACAAGTATTTTGTTTTCTATATAGAAAAAAATTTTATATAAAATTTTATTATTCAATTTAACAACAGGCTTAAAGTTTTTTTTTAAAAATAATTTTAAATATAATCTATTTTAGATTTTTGTTTTCTATTTCTAAAAAATAATAAAAATAACTTTTAAAAATACAATATAAAATGTCTGAATGAATTCTGTGATTGCAGTATGTATATATGAAGTCTTGAATGAAAAAGAGATTACGTGTGTTTTTAAAACGTTCGTTGTCAGTTCATCTTCTTCAAAAGCGAACTCGAAACCTACTTTATGAAATTGAAATCGTGAGAAATTTCCTTCTATACTTATAAAAGATGAGAAAGGACTAATTGACTCAATTTTTAAAATCATTCCAATTTGTCATGACATTGCTTACATTTTTGCTTGAATAAGAAAGTATATAAATCAAAACTTTTCAAATAAATAACAAATCATACTTAAAAAAAAAAAAATTTTCATCTTTTTAATGATTTCCCAATATAATATTTATTAACAAACTATAATTTTTATCAATTTTTGTATAATACATCATCACTTATGTAATTAATAATTTTTTCTATTTTTTATCATATTAATTTGTTCAATTATTTTGCCATATTAATTTTTTCTATTATTTATCATATTAATTTTTTCTATTATTTGCCATTTTAACATTTTCTATGATTTATAATATTAATTTTTTTATTATTAATAATTTTAATTTTGAAAATTTGAAAAAGCCCTTTAATCAAAAATTATTTTACAATATATCTTTACTGACTGAATAAATTGTGAATTTCAAAAAGGACTCAATTCGAAAAAGCGTGTCATTTTCGCATAACAAGGGATAGTGAAAATGACTCTTACGATTTTCAAAATTCTCAATTGATTATTTATTAATTAATTTTTAAATAATAATAATAATAATAATAATAATAATAATAATAATATAATAATAATAATAATAATATATTGTTGTTTTTATAAAAGTAGATAATTTATTTTATTTAATATTATTAAAATTCATTGTATAATTATATAGTGAAAACAAAATTTATTTGATTCAAATAATCAGTTACTTAAAAATCAAAATAAATATTTTTACTCAAACCAAATAATTTTTATTTGAATGAAATAAACTCTATTTGAACAATTTATTTCTGTATTTGAAACAAATAATATTTAATTGACTTTTAATTAATAATTATTTCCTTCAAGTATAAATATTTATTTTATAACCGATTATTTGAAATAAATAAATTCTAAAGGGCTATTTGGCCGTTGAAATGTAAATTATTTATAAATAAATAATAAAAGAAACCAGTTGAAGTTTCTAGAAAGCAAAACATTTTAAAAGAAAACAATTATTTTAAAATTGTTTATTCTTAAAATTTTATTGATAAAATTAGCAGTATATTTTTGATTGGTTTAATCTAAATAGACAAATTCAAATTTTAAATATTTTAAAACTAATAAAAAATTACAAAAATGATTAGTGAATTATTAATTCATAACTTTAATTTATTTAATTCCATCGTTCAACTTTTACGCAAAAAATTTTTTTTTTAAAATGTCCTCTATTAAAAAATTTTATCTATATTCTTAATTAATTAATAATAATAATAATAATAATAATTATGTAAAATAATAAAATAAAATAAAATAAAAAAAGAAGTCAAAATATAGAATAAATTAAAATACAATAATTATTATCAAGATTTGTAAAACTTCCACAAAAAAAAAAATCAGAGCGAAAAAACTATATGGTATATAGATACGGAGAACTATTACTAATTTTCAGCATGCAGTTTTAAGAATTTATGTTCCTAAAAGATATTAATTATAAACTTTTATAAAATTTTGATTTATTAAATGAAAAATAAAAAATCTTATTTTACACTTTATTATAAAAAAAAACTGCTTCTTACTATAAATTGAACAAAATTATAAGTGCATTATTTCTTTAAAAATAAAGAAGAAATGTGATTGCAAGAATGCGAAATATGTACGTATATATATATATATATGTAAAGAATCTACCAAAAGTGTTCACTAGGTCGCGCAGTTTTCTTTAGGTTCTCATTTGTTGATGTTTATTTTTTGAGGTTATATACAGTACACGCGGATATGAAATGTTTTTTTTTTTTTTCAACAAAAAAACGGAAGAGACCTCGGTAATAATCAAAGCTGTTCGTCCGAACGGTCTGAAAGGGAATCCCGTACTGACAGACATAAGGTATGTGGATACCACACTCACACACATGTCACATATATCTTCCATATACCTGATTGTTCGGTTATATGGTAAAAGTCACAGTGTATATACGATTGTATACATAGGGAGAGTATAGTGAATCACGTGACTCCTGCTTTTCCTATAATTGAAAAAATCGAAGATTTTTTTTTTAATAATGACACAGTGGTTGAATAATAGCTCATTCAGGAATTCAGGAAATAATGATTGAATAATAGTATTACGAATAAATGTTGCAATATAATCATATATAAATATTTTTTTTATATATAGTAAGAAGAAAATTTTTAAAATGAACTATGCTTTTTATTATGGCAACGTTAAAAAATATATAGTGAATGCAAGAGAAAACTGGAAAAAAGTAATTACAAATTTGAGAAAAAGAAAAAAAATTAAGTTTCTTTTTAACAATCTGTGATATAAAAGATAGGGGACGCATGATCATGTTCTAAAAATCATTAGTTAGAATTTTCATTTTATGGAATTTCATTTGTCTTAATAATTTTTTAGCCGAAGTTTTCTTTGTACGAATTAATATTTTGTAAGAATTTTCATCAAAATTATTTTCTCTATTACAGAATTTTTATATAACCGAAAATTCAGTTCACAGAATTTTTATTTACTCGAATCTGCATTTAACATAATAGGCATTTTAAGTGGGGGAAACCACATTACGGGGTTAAAAAAATCGAATTGTTTTTTTTTTTGCATAAATAGTCAGCTTATGTATTCAAAAGTATGTTGAAAAAGTTTTTACAGCGAAATTTGGTAGTCCTCTCTGTGCTACAGGCAATGAATGAAGCTTGCTCCGAGTAGCGAAGCAGGTTGGTAACGGCGTCGCTGAGGAAGTCCCTTTGTGAATTTATGATTTGACTTATGAAGATTTGGAAGGACTAATGTATGGTGCAGGAATAGCAGATTAAAGTGTAAGCACTTTAAATGGTTTGTTTCTTATCATTATTTTCAAATTTTCGATACTTTTTTCAAACGCGTTTTTGTCGAAACAGGATTTTTGAAATTGCTGTACAGTATAGTTCAAAATGTTATTGATCGATTTCAAAAAAGAAAATTGCAAATTTCTTCTTATTAAATTTATTATTAAGTGAACTAAACGTTAGAAAGAAAAAAAAATTTTTAATACCTTCTTTTTTAATCTCAAAGACGCAAAAAAATATGCCAAAAAATCAAACATTAACTTAAAAGTAGTGTCAATTTTTCAATATTTTCCTTTAAAATTTAGTTCAATTAATAATAAAATTTGTATAAAATGTGAATAACCTTCATTTTTTGTATTTAGATCAATTTTGTGGACTCCATCTTGCACAGCAATCATAAACTCAGACGGCACAGCTCCAGATTTAATGGCTGCTAACTAGGAATGTTTTTATTAAAAATGATTAAAAAAATTGTGAGACACAGATAAATATATGTGCAACATAATGTCATTCTTGCATTTCATTTAAAAAATTTTTTTCCCTTTTGAAAAAAATCCCGAAAAACGGCTAAAAAACAGCGTCCTAATGTGGTTTCCCTCCTTAAAGGATTTTTATTGATGTACAATTTCATTGGATAGAATTTTTTTTTAGATGAATTTTCATTAGTTCGAATTATTATTTAATATTTTCATATAATCGATTTTTCATTTTACCGAATTTTTACTCAACCGAAAAATCATTTAAAAAAATTTCTAATAGAAAAAATTTCTAATTTTCATTTGTCCGAAATTGCAAATAGCCAAACAAACAATCGACAGAAAGATTTCGGCGCGATTTTTAAAATCAACCAATCACAATTTTATGAATAATTTTTGATTGGTTGATTTTAAAAATAGCGCCGCTGTCGATTGTTTATTCGGCCATTTGGAATTTCGGACAAATGAAAATTCTATCAATTAGAAATTCTGTTAATTGATTTTTTGGTTAAGTAAAAATTCTGTAAAATGCAAAATCAGTTATATGGAAATTATATCAAATAATAATTCGAACAAATGAAAATTCATCTGAAAGAATAAAATGAAAATTCTATGCAATGAAATTCTACCCAATAAAAATTCTTTAAAATGCCTCTGTTATGTTAAATGAGAATTCAAGCAAATAAAAAATCTGACAAATAAAAATTCGAACAATTAAAAATTCTGTGAAGTGAATTTTCGGTTATATAAAAATTCTGTAATATAGTAAATCGATTTGATGAAAATTCTGCAAAATACTAATTCGAATAAATAAAAATTTGGCTCAAAAATAATTAAGAAAATTCGATAAAATGAAAATTCTAACTAATGATTTTTAGAACATAATCATACGTTCCAAAGATAGTTTAGAGTTATTTAAAATATTTACGATAATTTTTAAACGTTTTTCGAATTTTTTGAGGTGCCATAAGAAAATTTTGTTCAAAAATTCGTTTTTGTCCAACATGCACGAGAAATTTGACATTCTGTTCTTGTATAGCGGGCGGAAAGTATCATTTTGTCGACTAAGTAACAATTGTCCAGTGTGAAGTCAATACGCATGAATTTCCCATAAAAATCAATGTTTATAATTTTTATTTTAAAGAATTTTATTATAGATATAATTAATTTTAAGACCAGTTTTGATTTTTTGAATTAGCGTTTGACAGAATTTTTTTAAACAAATTTTTAGATACCGAATTTCAGAGAATTATTATTTTACAGATAATTTCACATTACCAACTTTTTTTTATTTTATTGAAAATTGGTAGTTTTACAAAAATGGAAATTTGGCGTTTTAAGAATTCTATTAATTTAAAATTCGGGAAAATGTAGATTTGGTAATTTGGAAATTTTGTTATTTGAAAATTAATCAATTAAAATTCTGTTAAATGAAAATTCAGCTAAATTATTTATATTAAAGCGCATGAATTTTCCCTAAAAAATTAATAAGAATTTTTATTATAAAGTATTTTTACTCGAAATAATTATTTTTTAGACGAATTTTCTAATTAAAATTTGATAGATTTTCTTTTATACGATTTATTTTACATAACAAAATTTTTAGCTACCGAATTTTTGTTTGGCAGAATTTTTATTTTATAATCATTTAATTTACATACGTGTTATTTTATTTGAGAGAATTTTAATTTAAAAGTGTTCAACGGTCTCAGAAATTCTTTTGCAAAAAGGGACCATTAATTTTCGCCCTATACAAATGGCACTGAACGTAAAAATGATAAACATTGATTTTAAAACACTTTTTTCTCGAATTATGAATACTTTTTATAAAATCGGCAAACATACCAAGAATTCTTATCTTATAAATTTCCTAAATCTGAAAGATTTTTCGAATCTATGCAAAAACACGATTGCAAAATTGGAAATAAGAAAGTAATATAATGACGGGTGCGATTTCTGCCATCTAACGGCGACAGAACGTAATAAAGCTATCATTATATTACTTTACTATTTTCAATTTTGCAATCGCGTTTATTGCATCCAAAAAATCTTTCGGATTTAGAAAATTTATAAGATAAGAATTCTTGGTGCGTTGGTCGATTTTATAAAACGTGTCCATAATTCGAGAAGAAAGTGTTTTAAAATCAATGTTTATCATTTTTACATTCAGTGCCAGTTTTATAGGGCGATAATTAAAGGTCTCTCTTTGCTAAAGAATTTCAGAGACTGTTCACAACACACTTAACAGAATTCATCAAATTTTATGTGATTTGAATTTTTTCGGTGCAATTTTTAAAATTGACCAATCAAGATTTTCTCGATAATTTCTAATTGGTCAATTTTAAAAATTACGAAGCTTTCGAAGAACTCCGAGGTCATTTTTTCGGACTCTTTTCGAATTACTATGTTGTTGTGGACTATAATTGTTGATTGATTTCATGTAAATTCTGAAACATTTTTGAATTCTCCTTTTCTTTAAAAAAAAATGTAAAAATTCTTCGGATTTAAACAAAACTCATGTTCTTGAGGTCGCTGACAACAAATCTGTTTTAGTTTTTCAAAATTAAAACTGTCAGATCTATAACATGGTGATCGAACTTTTAATACTTGATTTAATTGAAACTATGGTGACTTGGACGTTTATCAAAGGTTAAAATAATGTATGGAAACATTAAATATGTGAAAAACAAACTTATTATTTAAATAATAGACATATTCGAAGTGTTAACAAATATAAATAATAAATAATTTAAAACTAATATGTATTCATATTTTCTATAATAAATTAAAAAAATTCATGATAGTTTATTAGCTTACACATATATTAAAGTATATATTCAAAAAAAATTTCTTCGTCGAAGTTATTGCTTAGGTTTTTAGCTTTCAAAAATATTTTGAAGTTATATCCGCAAATTGTGAGGCTCGAATTAAAGAATAATTTATTTCGTTATACCCTTGAAATACTACCATCAGGGGCAATTGAAACTATCACATAATTAATAGAGCCATTTTCATTGCGATCATTCAATTCAAAATTATGTTCCTTGTCTGGAAATAACTAAACAAAAAAATATTGATTTATCATTATGTGTGATTTTCATTTAGAGATAACATTAATTTTTTCAAATTTACCTTTTGAAGTGGCAATAGAAATTTCCAATTAACGTCCTGAACATTTTTTTCACAAGAAACTATAACTCTTTCAACTTGTATATTTTCAGCATGATTGCCTTTAATTAATTCTCTTGAGGGCTTAATTAAATTTTTAGAAACACCATAATGAGCATTCATAATTCCCCTACAAACATCTCTATTTTCGATTGACACTAAATCTATTAAATTATTATTATTAACAGCATTCCAGTTAGGTTGAATAAAACCACAAATTCTTACTCTTGAAATACCACCATCAGGAGCAATTGAAATTTTCACATAATTAATAGGATCATTTTCAATGCGATCATTCAATTCAAAATTATGCTCTTGATCTGGAAATAACTGAAAAAGAATATTATTTTATTAATTTTATACTTTAATTTTTGGATTATTTTTTGAAATTTACCTTTTGAGGTGTCAGTAGAAGTTTCCATTTAACGTCCTTAATATTTTCATCAGAAGAAACTAAAGCGCCTTCGACTTTTATATTTTGAGGATAGTTGCCTTTAAAATGAATAGTATCAACATGAATGGAGGAGATTTTTCCCACATGACCCAATTTAAATAAGGCCCATTCATCACCGTAAGACTGTAATAAAAATATGTCTATTAGTATATATATGGTAATAAAATATAGACAAAATTTTGACCCACTTCAGAACCAAGAACCAGACTATGCTTTTTCAAAGCATTTTGATGTGCTGAATCCGAATCTGACCTCAAAATTGACCTGGCACGTCAGGTTTTTGAAATACTCTAACTTAAAAGTGCAAAAATGACATTTTTTGACCGTATTTGAGGTCATGTAACATAATAATTTTGTTCAAAAATGTTGTTACAGCATCTGAAAGTACTATTCTTACCCTTTAAAATGCATTTTGAAACTTTTAAAATTCTTTATTTGACTCTGAGTTATCGTCATTTACCCCTTTGAATCATACATTTATCGCTCAAATGCACTATGGAGGGTTTTAAGGGTCGCTGATTATGAATCGGAAGTCAGATTTTTCAAAATTCAAAATGGCGGACAATTTTTTTTAAATTGATCAAATCCGCTCGAAACTGGTTACTCGGGGGGTTTTCGGGGTCAATGATTACCAATCCGATGTCATTTTTTTACAATTCAAAATGGCGGATCCAACATGACGGACGACATTTTAAAAATCGAACGCAATTTGCTTGAAACTTTGTTATTCGGGGGTTTTTGGCTTCGCTGATTACGAATTTGATGTCAGTTTTTTAAAATTCAAAATGACGGATCCAATATGGCGAAAAATTTTCTTTAAATTGATCAAGTCCGCTCGAAACTGGTTACTTGGGGATTTTTGAGATCGCTGATTACGAATATGATGTTGAAACCGCCATTTTGAATTTTGAAAATTTAACATCATAGTCGTAATCAGCGACCCCAAAAACCCCCGAGTTACAAGTTTCAGGCAAATCCGATCAATTTTTTATTTTGTCATCCAACATTTTGAATTTTAAAAAACCGGTGCCAGATTCGTAATTAGCGACCCCAAAAACTTTATAGGCATTATTGTCAGATTATGTCGTGTTGTTGTTTAGTCACAATTACATTTATTGTTAAAAAAAACGCTTTTTTTAAACTTAATTATAACATTTATTTTGTTAATAAAAAAACATTTTTTTAATGCAGTAATATTGTAATAGATGTTGTAAAATACATTTTAAATATATTTTGTTATTAGAATGTGTAAAATACTGGTTCACTTCTCTGAAGTTGTCGTCGACGCTCAGCGCCGAAAATTGTTTTTCACAGGACTAAAAATGTCAAATTATTTTTTTATTTTTTTAAAATGATTTTCGGTTCAAATAATGCCTTGAGAAATGGTTTTCACGGTATTATGTGGACCCAAAACTTTCTTAATATAAAAATGATTTGATATTTTAGGTCCTGTGAAAATTAATTTTCGACGCTGAGCATCGACGCCAACTTCTTGAAGGTGAAAATTAAAATGCACGATGCGCCAGAAGGTGGTTTAAATAAAAATGAATTGGCACTTAAAAATTCTTTTTGATTATGATTCTTAGATGAATAACAAACATTTCTTAATAGTTTTTAAAATCAGTTTACGTGCCCGATTTAAATAAAATTGAGTTTTTATATAAAAACAATGTTTTATGGGGAATCAGAATTTATTTAATCTAATAAATACTGTAATAAATGATAAAATAATTACTTATTTTCAATTTTACATATAAAAAATTATATTGCTGTAGTGTTTGTGTCCGATTTTAAAAAATTAAATTATAATGTTAAAAGAACGATTTTAAGAGTGACAAAATTTATTTAAGAGAGTCGAATGATCTCTGAAATTTTTTGGCAAGAAGAGACCTTTAATTATCGCTCTATAAAAACGGCACTAAACGTGAAAATGATAAACATTGATTTTAAAATACTTTCTTCTCGAAAGACGGACACTTTTTATAAAAGCAGCTAGAGATCCTTATCTTATATAAATTTCCTAAATCCGAAAGATTATGCGAATCCATACAAAAACATGATTGCAAAACGAAAAGTAATATAATGAGGGGTTCATTACCTCCTGCCGCCGTTATATGGCAGCAGCATGCAGGGCGCACAAAGTCGCAGCTGTTATTAGATTACTTTTCTACTTTTTGTTTTGCAACCATGTTTTTCTATGGATTCGTACAGTCTTTTGGATTTAGGAAATTTATAAGATGAGGATTTTGGCTGATTTTGTTAAAAGTGTTCGTGTTTCGAGAAAAAAGTATTTTAAAATCAATACTATTTCACGTTCAGAGCGATAATTAAAGCTCTCTTCTTGCCAAAGAATTTCAGATACCGTTCGACACTCTTAATGCATAAATATAAAAACGAAACAAGAAAATAACTTCATTGTTAATAAATTTATATGAACCCAAATCTAAAACATCTATTATCTATACGCATATAAGTATACATTAAATAAATTCTGGTTCCTCATAAAATACTATTTTTAAATATTTAAAACTCAATTTGTTTTAAATTGGGCGCGTAAGCTGATTTTAAAACCTATTGAAAAAAGTTTTTTATTCATCTTAGAATCGAATGACGATAACTTAGAGCCAAATAAAGATTTGAATAGTAGAATAGTATTTTCAGATACTCTAACGATCTTTTTGAAGAAAAAAATATCTTAAAAACCCGAAGTTCTGAGTCAATTCTGAGGTCAGATTCGTATTCAGCACATCAAAATGCTTCGAAAAAGTATAGTTCTAAAGTAGGTCAAAATTTTTTCTGCCTGTTATTATAAAATTGAAATATTTTTTCTTCACATTACCTTAATTATTCCATTTGAATCAAGTTTTATTATTGGAGGTCTATCGTGTTTTCTAGCCGTTTCCCAGCCATCGCCCATATTTATTCCTCTTCCAGGTTTAATTAAATTTTTAGGATGTCCATAATGTGCATCACTAAATCCCATACAAACACCTCCATTTTCAATTGACAATAAATCAATTAGTGTATTACTATTAACAGCGTGCCATTCGGGTTTAGCAAAACCATAAACTCTTAGTCTTGCAATTCCACCGTCAGGAAAAATATTTAATCTTAAATGAGTCCATTTTTCTTCTGACATTATTTCTACATAGTGTTTCCTTGTCTCGGGATATCCAGGTTGTAATTTTGTCATTGGTATTAAAGTTGTCCATTCCTAATTAAATTAATTTCTCTTTATATTCAATATATATTCAAATTAAAAATTGATACAACTTCTATTTCATATATATATATATATATAAATATGTACCTCAGTCTTTAAATCAGTCATTGTTTTTAGATCCTTATCACTAGCGGCAGAACCAAGTTGAGAAAATCGTTTAGGGAAGGCATTTTCTTCTGCAATGAGTAATTATTTAAGAAATTTAATTTAAAACAAATTGGGAGAAATTCTCACGTGACTTATTGTTATTATAAGAAATTATGTGTTTTGCAAAAACCAAACTTTCTCTAAAATGAAAAAGAATAAATATTTCTAATCTTTCAATGAATTAAATTTTTCTAAAATATTTAGAAAATATTATGTATACTGTGTGGGTATTTTTAAACAAAAATGAGAACAAAAATTCTGGCTAATACACAAACGTCGCGTGAGTGTATCAGTGGTGCCAGAAGCAGCGCCAATGCGAGCTGCTGGCCGATGAATGAACTAGGAAACAACACAGTTTAACGTTTACTGCTTTATTTCTATTACTTTTGCGTTAAATTATAGTAAATTATAATTATTATAATTATAATTATAGTAAATTAAAAAATGTTAACCCTAAATCTTTTTTTCATTTTAGAGAAAGTTTCAGTGTCCTAAAAAAAATTTCTAACTACTTGAATTTAAATGGTTACTATAAAAAAAGAGTTAAAAAAGGTTGAATTAATAAAAATATATATATATATATATATATATATACAACAAGCCTATAAATAAATTTAATTTAAGAAAAAAAATGTTTTATTACATTAAAATATTTAAATGAATTCCTCAAAATTTTACACTTCATCCAATCTTATTTTTAATTTCAAAGAGTATAACAATCAAATTTTTTGTTAACTCTGTTCTCTAAATGTACAATAAGATAATTACGTATTTTTAAAAAGAAAAATAAAACTCACCTTGAGGTGTTAATCGAGCTGCTTGAATAGAAAATCTCGGAGCATGATTACCGGTGAAAAAAGCAGTATCTACACATATGCCTTTGATAACGGAAGATCGTCCCAATGCAATTATTGTCCAGTCATGACCAGCAATTCTTTTTCTTCTTGTTTCCCAACCATCCATCCATTTTCCATTGCTTGTAAACAAATTTTCTTTCCACTCAACATCTTCTTCCTAAAGAAAAAGAAATTTTTTCTTTATATTTTACTTCAACCCTTTCATATATAGATGAAATTTTAGAAAAAAATATTTCTTAATTTAAATATAGAGATCTGTTTAATAGATTTTTTTTAATTTAACACTGTTTGTAAGTTTTATTTTAATATATAGAAATGGCGCATGTAAATTTCCACTGGAATTACAGTAGGACGTCCGAAATATGTCATATCTTCATATTTTTGACACCTACCTCACCCTGCTTTTCTCTATTATTCTAGTTCCCCACCATGTATCGAAAAAAGCTACCATTCCTTGCAAAGATACAATAATTCGTGTATCGTTCGAAGATCATTTTAAGATTGATTTTATTCTATCTGTATTGAATTTACTGTATTTTTATTCATGTATGTTTAAATGAAATATATTTTATCAACAAAAATGTATTATTGAATTAAACTTAAATATGTTTGACTGTATAGCAAAAATATACTAAGTTTGAATTAACCTTTAAACTGATACGTGCCGAAAAATCACACTAACTGATTTCACCGGTCTGTCAGACCGCTATTCCTTTTTTATGTTATTTTATTGATTTTAAATTTTGTAAAGTCAATTGTTGTATATATTTTTTATTTTTTATGATTAAAAAGTCAATTTCTATATTGTTTCGTTTTAATTTTTTTATTTTTACTACTGAAAAGCTCAAGTTCTTATTGTACTTTAAAAAAAAGTTATAAGCGATGAAAGTTTTAATAGCGGTCTGTCAGACCGCTAAATCAGTTTAAAGGTTAAACATAGAGTAAAAGTGACCGACGTCTGCTATTAAAAACGATAATAACTATAAAAATAATAATATTGAATTAAATATCACTAGTAAATTAATTAATATACAATATTTAGAAACTGATACAGTTGACACAAAATTTTATATGTTTATATTTTCTTTAATATTTGACTTTCTAAAAAACTAACCTCAAAAAATTTTCTTTATTGATTACAAATTTTATAAACATGAAGGAGGTTCATATGAAGAAATTGTTAAATAATTATATTTTAAAAGCAACTTTTTTTTGTACATTAAATTTGTGATAATATTAATGAATATCATTTTACTTAAATTATTATTATAAAATCTTATCAAAGTGTTTTTTAATTTTAAACTTATGTATTTTAAATTTTAACCCAAATCTTTTATTTGAAATTTATTTTCTAACTAAATCTTTAATAAATTCCGATAAAATGTGATTTAAAGTTAAAAGTATGCTGTGTGTATGGTATCTGTCACTGCAACCGTTACTCTAATCCCAGATAGCACAATAATTTGCAGCAAGTTGACAATGCCAAATTGCAAGTTTGCATTGCCAACTTGCTGCAAAACTGTGGCAAATATCGATATGTCCACCCTTTTTAAATAAGTTTCAAACAAATTCTAACAATTTTTTAAAAAAATTTCTGCTATTTTGATTTTTTAAAATCTAATTATATAAGCCAATCATAATTTACTATATAATAAAGAGTATTAACTATAAATTACCTTGAGTAAATTTTCAGCAGTGGCAAACCAGTCGTCCGTACTAAAAAGTATTTTTCCTCCATTCTGTAGATTCAAAATATTTAAAAATTATTATTTAATAATTTTCTAATGTATTTTTTATAAAAAAAATAAATTTTGTTTATAAATTGCAAAAAAAAATATTCTTTTTGAATAATAACAATTTTCTAAAAAAAAAAAAAAAAAGGTTTTGAAAAAATATGTTAAAGTTATTTTCCGAAAAAAATTTGTAATAGAAGGAAAAAATCTTTCGAAAATACAGAAGTGAAAAATTTGTGTCTCTTATCGTATATTATAATATTTCAACAAGAAATTTTAAATGACATTGAAAACTTAGATTAACAAACATAAACTGAATGCCTCAAGTAATACTTGCGTAGATACTGATGATACTGATTAAATATTAATCCCTAACCTTTCGCTAGAATATAAATGTTAAATACGAAATGAATTGAAGAAATAAATACATATAGTAATAATAGAATAAAAATTAATTTATCAGTTGAGGAAACACATTTTTTTTTAATGAATTGCAAAAGTTTGATAAAAATTTATATACATAGTATACATAAAACATGAAAAATTTTTAAAATAAAAAAATATTGAAATGATTATAATTCTCTTGGCGCTAGAGTTGAAATAAAAATATGCGTTTTTTTTATGGAAGATTAAACTACTTATACATGTTATGATAGATTATGGTCGATTTTTTTCAAATTAAATATAAATGTGCATCTGTATAATGATTAGATATTATATATTGTTTAAAGTGCAAACAAAAGTCAAGAAAATTATTGATGTACTTGTTTAACATTGTAAATCTTAGTGTAAACATATTTCGATTAAGTATATAGGTATACGTTATCTTTGTATTTTTGCAAAAAAAAAACAATGCTAATTCTTTTTTCTTAAAATATTTTTAGAAGAAAATTTATTTGATTCAAATAATCAATTATCAAATTATTTAAACCTTGTGATAATAAAAACAAATTTAACAAATCTTTCAATATATTTTTGCTTCTACTGCTTATATAAAGTAAAACATTTTTTTTTGTAAAATATAAAAATTAAAAAATTTTTAACCAAAAAAATTATTTTTATTATTTTTTTGTACTTTACTTTTATTTCAAAATTCCTGCAAAACTGTTAAAGGCCTTGAAATATTTATTAATAAAATTTTAAAAAATACATTTTTTAAACTAAGAAAAAAATGAAAAAAATAACTTCTTTTTATATAAACGTTCATGTAATTTTTAAATATGAATAAGTTAAAAATTAATATGCTTATAATAATTATAATTCTAATGGTTTTAAAATTTAAGTAAAAAAAATTATATAAATAATAAATGCAAATTTTGAAAAATGAAAAATACTGTTTTAATTGTTCGAAAATTTGTGACCGGAAAAAAAACGGGAAATTACCGGGAATCCAATTTTATAAAGAAAAAAAATTTTTCAGTAATTTCCTATTTTATCAACTTATTTAATAATTTAAATTTGACTATTTTTTTAAAATTAATATTTAGTTATTTTTCACTAAATTGGAAAAGAAAAAAATTTCAGCCAAGGTTTTACTTATAATTATACTTTTAAATAATTCATATTTAGAAAGTAGTAAATTAATTCATTAAAACATAACTTAATTTCTAATTATTAAAAATGGTATTATCAATAATGATTAGCTTCTAACTTCTCTAACAAATCTAAGATCAAAAGTTCACACGCGACAGACACGCTTATTATTTCACAGTTTAAAAGAAAACTAATTACATTACAAAGTAGTATAGACAATTTTTTTTTATTGTTACATTTTTTCAGCTTTTACACAGTAAAAGATAATACAATAGAAAATATTTGTAATTTATATGTAAATTTGTTTAAAAATATTCTACTTCAAAAAAAAAAGTGCCAAATGAAATACAATAATCAATTAATTTACCTTACATGATTATTTACTTTACTTTCAAAATATAAATATTTTTAGAAATTTATTTTTTTTTGTAAAAAAAATTAATAGCAAAATTATAACAAATTAATAAAAAAAAATTTTATTGTATTAAACTTTTTTATTTTTAATTTATTAAATTAATTTATTGTCTCTTACTCGTTCTGAAGCAAGTTCGTTGAGATGAGTAAAATTAGGTATCGACATGATGATGTTCTTTCAATTAGCCCCTTAATACTGAACTGAGAATTATTAGTTGAATCAAGTTTATATACGAGATGTATTATCGGCATTTTTTTAAAAATTAATCTCCATCGTAAGCTACTTTTCACTTTATGACGGAATTCTTAACTTGAATGAATATTTTTTTTTTAAATCCTTAATGTTTTTACATAAATAAAAACTGTTTTTTTTTTCTTTTTGAAAAATATTTTCATCAACTTTCTTTGAGAATTTTTACCATTTCTCTAACTAAATTTTCATCAGCAATCATTATAGAAAAATTGACACCATCGCCAATTTTTATATTATTTAATTGTTTTGAATAATTTTTAATTTTCTTTGCCGAGGCATGAAACTCATGTGTTTTGGATAAATTTTTAATTTCTCTTAAATTATCTTTTGTTATTCCTGCACCGGGCATAATAATAATTCTTTTTTTTGATTTCTCAATTAATTGTTGAATCAATGAAATGCCGACTAATGCCGATTCTTTTTGTCCCGATGTCAATATTCTTTCAAAACCAAGTTTACATATTATTTCCAATGATTCTAGAGGATCTTTGACATAGTCAAATGCGCGATGAAATGTTACTGGAAATGGTTGGGCAGCATTTAAAATTTTTTCACAATATTCATTATGAATTTCATTCTCATTTGTCAGTGCACCAAATACAAATCCATTTGGATTTAATTTTTTTAATGTTTCAATGTCAAAAATCATGGCATTCATTTCTTCTTCGGAATAGACAAAATTTCCGGCTCTTACTCGAATCATTATGTAAATTGGTATAGGGGATAATTTTCGAATTTGAAATACAAGTCCAGAGGATGGTGTTAATCCACCTTCTGACAATGCACTGCAAACTTCAAGTCGTGAAGCACCACCGGAAATTGCATTTTTTGCCGATTCAATGCTGTCAATGCAAATTTCCATCTGAAAGGATAATAAATTAAATACTTTTTTCTTTAATTTACATCAATAAAATTGAAATAGTTTTATTGTAATAAAATTTAAAAAAATTTATTATATAATTAGTTTTTATATAGTTACTAAAAAAATATGAAAATTTATTATTATTTTATATATTATAAAAGAAATTAATAAATCATTTAATTTTGGAAATTAGAAAGCACATATTTTTAGATTATCAGAAAATTATTTTAAAAAACTATAAAAAATTATTATATAATAATAAAATGCTTGGTCTGTCCTAACTTGAAGTTGGCCTTTTCTGATTTCACGTGTTTTTTTGAATAGTACAAGATAGTAATTTAAAAAAATTTATTTTTAAAAATTAATTTTTAAGGTACCAGGGGCCAACGAATACCTATTAAATATTAATTATAAAAATACAGGCCTCGAATCAACTTAAAGACACAAAAAGTCGTTTCAGTCGATTTATATTCCCAAAAAAAGTGGATTTGTTTTTTATTTTAACAAAAATATTTTACAGATTTGTAAATAAAATTTTTTTTTTTTTAATAATAATCCTTTTCGAAGGGTTAAAGTTGAAATTTTTAGAAATAATTAAATTTCAAAAGATATTGTTAATTTTCAAACAATTATTAAATTTTACAGAACTAAAAATAATTTATCAAATAATTTTTTGGAAAACATTTTTTAAATTTAATTGAATTTTCAAAGATTTAAAATTGAGATTTTTGAAATTAATTGAAACTTTAAGTGTTTTGTAATTAAAATTTTAGATGATTTCACTAAAAATTTATTAGAAAATGCGGACAAAATACAATAATTTGAAAATCATTTTTAATTGAAAAATGGTTTCAGATAGTTGAAATTTCAAAGAATATTATTAAAATAGTTAAAAATAATTGAATTTCCTTAGAGTTATAATTGAATTTATTAAAATTCAAAAAAAAAAATTTCGATGGAAAATTTTAGAAATAATTAAATTTTAGATGCTTTTAAATTCAAATTATTGAAAATTCAATTAATTTTGAATTCAAATTTTTGAGAAAAATTAAATTTTATTTGATTTTAAATTTGGAAAATAATTCAATTTTAGTTCATTTTGAATTGAAAATTTTGGGAAATAATTGAATTTTAATTGAAATTTGGATAATAATTTAATTTAAGTTCATTTTAGATTGAAAATTTAAATAATTAATAGAAATTTTAGAAAATAATCGAATTTTATTTCATTTTAAATTGAAAACTTGGTAAATAATTAAATTTTAAATTGAAAATTTTGGATAATTATTGGATTTTTAATTGATTTTGAATTAAAATTTCTAGTAATAATTGAATTTTAGTTTATTTTGAATTGAAATTTTTAAAATTTAAAAAAAATTTTTTTTTTTTAATCAGCCCATGAGGGCTGATCCATATGGCTGATCCAAAAATCAAATATTTTTTTATCACCAAAAAATTAATGTTTATAATGATTCAGAACAACGAAAAACGCGTTTTTAATAAAAATATATTTACACTTTTTTGAAAATAACACTCACACTTATGGCAAAATAGATGAGGGCCATCGTAGGGGCCCGCATGGATCGCCCTCATCATCGATTAGCAAAATTTTCTAAGTCCAAAAATCAAATATTTTTTTATCACCAAAAAATTAATGTTTAGAATGATTCAGAACAACGAAAAACGCGTTTTTAATAAAAATATATTTACACTTTTTTGAAAATTCACCTGAGATGATTCATGATAATAATCATAAAGCATATAATTAATTATATTTTATAAATTGCATTTGATTGGAAAATATAATTTAATATCTTAACTTTAACTAAATGATGTTAAGCACTTTTCTTTGTTAGATATTTTTGAAGTTTAAATAGCATCAAGAAGTTAGCATTTGTTTTGAAGTAGCGTGCGTAGCGTAGTTGGTAAAGCGTTAGACTCATAGTCCGTAGGTCGTAGGTTCGATTCCCCCCATGCGTTAGATTTATTTATTTCTCAGGTTTGCGTTTAATCATTAATTCTATGTATGAATTAATTGAAAAATGAAAATATCCGTTAATAGTATGCATAAATTACATATTTTTTAATTAATTAATTTATTATTACTTTTAATTATATCCAATTTATTAGAACGTTCATTAATAAATTCAATTTGAGTAAGAATTTAATTTAAAATTGAATAATTATTAAATAAATATGTTATTTATTCATAACTTAAGCTTATTTATTATTAATTAACTTTTATTATTAATATTATTGATTAAAAAACATTATGGCAAACTTGAGGGCAAGATGAGGGCAAACGTGAGGGCCCATAAGGGCGCCCGTAGGGGCACCCTCATGGATCGCCCATGCGGGCGCCCTCATCGATGAGCATGTCGTTTCCATGAGGGGCCCCTATGGATCATCCATATGCGGCCCTCATGGCATGAGGGCGATCCATAAGGGCCCCCGCTGGGGGCCCACATCACTTTTCCACACGGGTATTGTGATATTTTTTTTTAAATTATAAACAATTGTTAAATTTCATAAAAATTTTAATTGAAAAATAATTTTAATATAATTGAATTTGTGATGTATTTCATTAAAATTATTAAAAATATTTAATTTAGTGAAGAATCATTTTAGTTCAAAATTTGTTAAATAATTGAATTGAAGATGATCTGAAGAAGATCTACATTTTATACTAAAAAAATGTATTTTATTTACATTTTTTTTCAAATGTAAAAAAAAATGTCGCATTTTATTAAAATAAGTCGATAAAAGTCGTATTTTTGAAAAAAAAAGTCGGAAAAAGTCGTATAATCCGAGGCCTGTAAACATATAATTTTCATTATTATCATTTAATATGTAATAATATTCTAATAAATTAAATTATTATTGATAATATTAATCTTTAATTTCTTTATAAAAAACAATTAAATACTCAATTTGGCACGCTTGCTCGCGTTTAATTTTGCTAGTTGTAAATAAAAAATAAACTAAAATCCAGTTCAAATCATGAAGACCGACTAACTTCAAGTTGTAGAGATTTAATTGACACTGAAATATATTATTCTGTATGAAAAATAAAGAGACACGTATTTTTTTATTTTTCATATTTATTTTTAACGAAGTTATGCGCATTTGAATTTTGAATGATAAAATTCAAAAAAATACTTTTGAAAAATTGTTTTGCTTATATTTTCTTTTTTTTCACTTTAAAAAAAAAATTTGTCTTATTTTACGGATTGAACTTGTAATTTTACCAAAATCTGTAACTGAACTTATTTCAAAGCAGTAAATATACAATAACTGATTTAAACTTTATACTTTTAAAGTAGCACATTCGTAATTTTCTGTAAATTTACTATACTTTTAGAGTAGTACTAAATATTACCCACTTTCAATGTGACATAATTACTACCGTATTTGTAATTTTACAGTTTTTTGTAAAAATGCGAACATAACCTAGTCAATTTGCCACATTTCATTTAATTAAGTAAAATCACTGCTTTAAAAGAAGGTAATATATTAGATACTACACTGAAAGTAGTAAATTTATAGGAAATTTTTTTTACAGTATTAGTAAAAAAATTTTTTTTTGCATGTTGTTGGTGTTCTTGTCTTCTTTAAAATCCCGTTTGAAATTTGCAAAAAGCTTAAAAATTAACGAAACTAAAAATGATTTTCAGAAAATATTTAAGGTTAATTTTTTCAAAAACTCCACTTTTTTTTCTCAAAAAATTTTTACCATAAATATGGGCAACAAACAATCAAAACAAAAGTATTCAACTTCACGTTTTCTTATTTTTGAATAAAAATAATTTATATTTACTTAGGAACTTTTTACATGACCTTAAACGATAATAAAAAATAATTAAAAAGTACCTATATAAAAACGAAAAACGAATGTAAAAAATTATTATCATAAAAATAATTTATAAATAAAAAAAACCTTTTAGTATACACGGAAAGAAAAAGTGTTAAAAATTTATATTATTTTTTTAAAAATAGTATTAAAATATTTTTACACTTTTTCTTTTCGTGTAAAAGTGTGAGAAATTTTAATATTAACACTTCGAATCACTTGAAAATTGCATTTGAAATAAAGATTAAAAATTTCTTATACAAAAAACAATTTTCAAATTATAGAGGTTATGTATTATCTGAATCCCTTTCTGTCAGAAAATTCTAATTCTAATAAAAGTGTAATTTTTAATTTAAAACAATTTTTAGAATTAAATTCTCAAAACTTGCATTAAACATTTTTAAAGTTGAAAATTATTTTTTTAAAGTTTCGAAAATTTATTTTAAGAATAGATAAAAGAAGCCGAAAATATAGTTTTTTTTTTATTAAATTGAGTTCCGATTGTTTATCTGATTCTACCTTAAACAACAATAAAATGCAATAAATATATGAAAATAACTTACAATTATAATGTCAATAAAAATATATATAAACAAATAAACCACCTGAAACTAGAATTCTTTCTTTAGAAACAACAATAAACATATGACAAAGAAGTCGATATTAACGACATCTGGTAAATCGAGAGTTAAGTTTTATTTAAATTTAAAAAATTTTTTATAACCATTTTCTGAGAGTGTAAAAAATTATTAATTTTTGTTCTTTATACAAAAAAAATTTCTAAAATTATATTTACTTAAATATTATATAACATATACATATTATTATTCTATATATAATTGTAATCTATTTATTTTTTATAGTTTCATTTCATACATTTATAATTGAGGAGCAAATTTTCAAAAGTAAATAAATCCATTTTTTAAAATTGTGGAGATAAACAAAGATTTAACAGATTAAAGATCTTAGTAATTGATTTGTTACTGTTGAATTTAAAAACATTTTATTAACAAAGAAATGTCAATTTAAAAATATCTTGTCTTAACCAAGATGATTTATAATAATTTTTTTTTTTTATAAAAAATTATCAATACCTTAAAATTTACCAATTACGATAGACTTTAATTAAAAACAAAGCGTCTTAAATAAAAAAAAAACATTTTTATACAAATAATTTATTAAAATTTTTCTTAAAATTAAATTATGTCGTTATGTAAAAAATGTCATTTATTTAAATTTCTCGAAATATCAAAATATGGATTTATCAATGTTTGAAAACTTTATTATTATTATTCTATTCTGTTGCGTTTTATTTAAAAAAAATCTATTAAAAATATAACAAATAATATAAAAAAAAGAATATAATATACAAGAATCTAGTTTTCGAAAAATTTTGATTTAAAATTAAGAAAAATAAAGTCAGTAGTATAACAATATAAATATTAAAAGGTAAATACTCTAAAAAACAAAACAAAACTTTATTCTAAGTGCGTTCAATTTTATCTTGATTTATAAATAATTAAAGGAAATAAATTTGCAATATATATATACATGTATATATATTTTTTTAAATTAATTTTGTTTTGAATTTCAAAGTTTATATTGCAAATTATATGATTAAGAAAGCAGGAAATCACAGATACATATTTTAAAAAAAAGAATGAAATAAATGTATATATTGATAAAATGAAAAAGCTTACAACATCGGGATGAAAAAGGGAGATGGTAATAAAATAAAAACATACATTACTCGTAGTAAGAAATATATAAGTTTTTAGCATGTAAATAACATCGATATTTGATTAATACTTATCGTAATTTAAAAAAGAACAGCACAAAATAGAGTCACTCTTTTCTCTTTGTGACGAAAAAAAAAAAGTTCAAAATTTCATTTCATTATATACTTTCCTGAGTAAATTTTAAACTCGAAGAATTTAACGCAATGTTTATAAAATAATGTGTTTTAATTATTGATCCGTCATTATTGTTTTCAAAAAAAAAAAAAATAAAAATCCGTGAATCAAAATTAAGAACAGCCGTTTTTTTTTTTCAATTGGCAAGAAGAAATTGTGACGGAAAATTGTCAACTAATTGAGTTTTGGGCTTTGATTAAAAAGTCTTAAATATACATTAATATACAAATTTAATGCGAGCGTGTTCTGGCCTAATTTTAATAATTCCACCGGAAAAAAAGGTACAATTATTATTTTCACCCAAACAAAAGATTTTGTAATAAAATAAAATTTTTTGTTATTTAAAACCTATTAATTCGCATTAGATTCTTCTCCCTGGATAAAATTTTTTTTTATAAAATTGTAATTTTGAAAATCTTTTGTTTTACTTTACATTTTATTGCACGCATTTTGTTTTTAAATATATATATAATATATATATTTATAATATCGCAAGAGCCAATTTTTTTTTAAAAAAAGATACCATTTTCGTCGTATTATTAAAAATAGAAAATTATTTATGAGTCGATTTCTTAAATACACTATTTAAAAATAAACTTTCGTTGTTATCGCGAGTTAGAAGAGTCGACGTGCTCTCGCAAAATTCAACTTTTTTTTTTTTTTACAAACATTTTCTTTTTTTCTTGGCTTTTGATTTAAAGCACCCGTAAGTTATTTCCATTATTAATATCTTACACAATTTAAGTGAATTTAATATCAATACTTACTGTTTAACAAAATAAAAAAAAAACAAAACAAAAAATGAATTTCTGTCGACTAATATTTGAGCAGAATTTGAATTGGAAGCATCGAATTATTATTATTATTACCAATAAAATACTAATAAAAAAAAAGTTTGGAATCCAAGCTTATTTAAAAAGAAATGCATCACAGATCGCCATTTGAGACAGTAATTGGCGTTGGTGTTGGTTGTGAATTTGTGGCATTTGAAGCCCATTTATTTTTATGTGGATCAACTCCAAATCCTTCATCATAATTCCCTCGCGTAATAAATAATTGCTTGAAATGTGGTATGCAATAAAGTTTTCCATTATTCAATGTAAACGTATCCATTCTGTAAAGTTTATTTAGTTTATTAATTTTATATTCATTAAATAACAAAGGGGCGCATGATTATCTCATAAAAATCATTTATTAGAAATAATTATTTTTTAGAGGAATTTTCAAATTAAAATTTGACAGAATTTATTTTTATACGAATTTTTATTTAACAAAATTTTTAGACACCGAATTTTTATTTGGCAGTATTTTTATTTTACAGTCAATTTTCTTTACATGATTTTTTATTGTAAAAAATTTTAATTTAATCAAATTTTAATTAAACAGAATTCTCATTCATTCGAATTTTATTCAATTCGAATTTTTAAATTGATAAAAATTCCAAATTCAACGAATATTAATTTGTCCGAATTATTATTTGTACGAATTTTTATTTGTCCAAAATTACAAATGGCCGAACAATTGATCGATAGAAAGATTTCAACGCAATTTTTAAATTCGACCAATTAGAAATTATCAAAAAAAAAAAATCGTGATTGGTAAATTTTAAAAATTGCGCCAAAATCTTTCTATCGATTTTTTATTCGATCATTTGTAATTTCGGACAAACGAAAATTTGGTGTCTTAAAAATTCTATCAATTAAAAATTCGGACAAATTAAAATTCAATGAATTGGAATTTCTGTCATTTAAAAATTCGAATCACATAAAATTCTATTGAATGAGAATTTTGTTAAATTAAAATTTGTTTAAATAAAAAGGCATTTAAAGAAATTCGACTATAAAATAAAAAATTCTGCCAAATAAAAATTCGGTACCTAAAAATTTTGTTAAGTAAAAATTCGTATAAAAAGAAATTCTGTGAAATACTAATTCAAAAAATGAAAATTCGTCTAAAAAATAATATTATTTCTAATAAAATTCTTTAAAATAAAAATTCTAATTAATAATTCTCATGGGATAATCATGAGCTCCGAATAAAAAGAAAAAAAAATGTTAAAAAGAGTCAAGAAGTTTTTTTTTTCTTTTCTTACCTTAAAATACAATTACACTGCAGACATCGAAAACAATGTTTATGGAATATTTTGTTATTTGTTTCGACTTTTTCCAAAGGATAAACCTTTTTTTGACAACTCTCACAAACTTCCGTGCAATTCGACTGAATTTCCTGTTTTTTCCAAAATAAAATTTTCAAAAACATATTATAAAATAATGATAATAATACAAATAAAAATAATAATATAAGAGTACAAATAAAAATTAAAATATTGAGAAAATAAAATATTCAGAAATCTGTGTGAGTATAAATAATAATTTATAACGAAATTAATAAAAACAGAAATATAATTATAATATTGCAATTCATGATAATAAAAATTAATATTGAAATGAGACTTACAATGTTTGACCCACCAATAATAAAAAAAAAAACATTGTTTATTTACCAATTTCCAATACTCTATGAAATATTACAATAAAGAGGTAAATTTACAAAAAATGAATATTTACCAGATACAATAAAACGCAAACAGACTATTATTATTCGTCAAGATTAATTTTATATTTAATTTATATTAATTCTGTATAGAGATTTTCTATAAGATTTTTTTTTTCATTATTTCCACTTTTCTTAATAGAAAAAAAAGAAACATGACAAGATTTAGCATCACTAACCCCTTCGTTTTCAAAGCTTATAATAAATGAAATTACAAATCCTCAGCATTACTTATTACATATTCGTTGTTCTCTAATTTTTAAAATTACATATTTAAACAAATGAAAATGGTTTATAGAAAATATAAATTTAAAATTGTGTAATATTAGAAACGAAGAGGTTAATTACAATTTATTATAAAATTCTAATATTTTTTATAATATTATCGATATATTATTTATTTTTTTATATTGCGTTGATAATTGTCATACAATTAATAATTTGAAATCTCTTTCTTCATTTTAAATTATTTTCACATTATTTAAATAATATAAAATTCAGAACATTTTAGAGTAGAAAATCGGTTTTTTAAAAAAATAAGTTTTTTCGTGGTTTGTTTTTTTTATTGATTCTTCGAAAAGAAGTTTCGAGAATCTTTTTTTCATCATGTTTTGTGTGATACAATTTTTTTTTTTGAAATTCGATAGAATACATTAAATGCGAATGAATTGTATATTGTACACATTTCAAGCGTTTATAAATTAAAAAGTTCTAATCTATTTTTTTTTTTTTTTGAAACGTCATTTTTGCATACATTTTGGATGCATATTTGCAATTTTTACCTACTACATATAAATAATGTTACAATTATTCATCACGTCCAGCTCGAAGATTATATATAATAATATAATATTGTAATTTTGTTGCAAAATATTTGGAAGTTTTTTTTTTTTTTTGCAAAATATTGTGAAAAGAGCTCGGAAGACTAGACAATAGTAATGTAAAACTTGATTAATCTACTAAAATTCTTTGTCGTTATTTTGTTATATTAGTACTCTTTGGTGGTTATTGCTACATATTTTAATAATTATATGAACTTGGAAAATTTTTCAATTTGAAATTTTTAATTTATTTTTATTACAATTTTAAAAACGAATATTTTTCTTTTAATGTGGCAAATTATTAAAAAAAAATTATTAATATTTTGTCGGTTGAATATCAAAGAGTAATTTTTCAAAATTTACAAGCATTAATTCTTTCAGAAGGAACTTTCGCTTAATAGATAAAAGCATGTTCTATATAATTTCCCTGAGAATTGTGCGCTTGTTTTTTTTATAATTACAAAAATGTTTAAATTCTTTTTATGTCTTTTAAAATTAAATCATTTTATTAAATTGTGTTATAAATGAAATATTTGATTTTCTAATTTTAATAGAAATACGCATAATTTATTGATTCTTATGTAGAAATCAAATCACACCTTTCTCAGCTTAGCACGTATATGGAAATAATATATATATTTTCTGATAATTCTTGTTTTTTTTTTACTTAATAAAAGGTTAAAATAAATATAACATTTTGAAACCATATCCCATTCAGTTTTTTTTTGAATAAGGATCACGCGAAAGCTCGATATGTGTTTTAACTCTGATTTGTCAAAAATAACAATTTTAAATATATATTATTTAAAATTTTTTTTTTGTAAACAAAATGCAAAAAATTTGAAATATCTCAAAAATTAGACTATCAATAAATAAAGTTAACAAAGATTTTCTTTTTCAGTATTTTCATAACTAGAATTAAATTTTAAATTTTAACAAAAACAGAGACAGGCACAAATCTTACAATGCGTTGTTGGTTCTGCAACTTAACATTGCAGGCGACACATTATATGATACATTTTATACTAAAATTTATATAATTCTTAAACAACTAACATAACGCCGACATTTTTTTTTTTTAAATGATCTCTAACAACGTAAAGAGTTAAATATAATATAATATTGTAATTATAGAATAATCGTGATCACTAATGCATTATCTTCATTTTCCTTGTGAAGAGGACCTTATCCACTAAAGGCTTTCGTCTTTTTAACAGTAACTTCTTTGGTCTTCGTTGAATTTTTTTTTTTTTTCTTTTTTTTTTTAATCATTTGTCTATCGAAAGCCCTTTCTCAAGCAGTCTTCTCTTTTGGGTCTTACTGCTCGAAAATGAAAAGTTTACGTAATTCCAATTTTCTTTTCATTATATTTTTATTAGTGATGCCGCCACGAAAGTTGTCAAAACCATGTAAAATTTTTTTGTCTCAAGATTTTTCATGGTCGCGACATTTCTCGCGGCAAAATTAATTTCAGGGTTGCCACATTTTTGCTAACATTCTAATTATCTGACTTTTACAGGACCGAATTTATTTCAGTTAAATATCGTTGGAGCTGAAAATCAATTTTTTTTCCGAAATTTTGTTTTTCAAAGCTTTTTAGACGATACGTATTTTTTTGTTTGGTTGAAAAAATTTTTTTTTTACAAAGTTGTAATGAATTTTAAGAAAAAAAATCTTAGAATAAAATAAATAAATAAATAATCTTAGAATAATCTTATCTTATCTTGATCTTTTTTTTTATCCAAATCTTTTAAGTGTTATAACTTGTTGACTAATCGGAATTTTTAATTTTTTTTTTTTGACATGAAAGAGATTTCTCTCTTCTTTAAAAATTAAGAAATATTCAAGAGTAAAAAAAATGAAGACTATTTTTTAAAGAAGAATAACAGATTTTTTTTTGAAATTTTTCTATTGGTATTATATTTTTTGAGACAAATGAAATTTTTCTTTTAAAAAATTTCCTGAATTTTCCAAGATTTTTCCAGATTTATAAAATTCCATGACTTTTCTAGGATTTCCAGGTTTTCAGATATTAGCGTGGCAACCCTGTAATTTTATTACACTAACAAAATAAGCACAAACACAACATTACATATCACAGCAGGCAAGTTACAGTCAATCATTTACATTCCAAAAATAATTTTTTTTTCCCTCTTTTTTTTTTTCTTTTCTTTTAATAAATTAGAAAGAGTAGGCATCAGTGGGTCATTTTAAGTTGTTGAAAAAATTATTTTAAAAAAACTACAAAAGTGAAATATTTTTAAACGCACTACACGTCCAAAAATTTAATTCACGTTGATTCAATTATTTCCAAGAGAAATTTAAAAAAAAATGTTTTTTACATAGCGAAAAAAATTGCTTATAATTCAAATCAAAAAAATATTTACTTGACCTAAATAATTTTTATTTGATTTAAATAAACTGTAATTAATTAAAGCAATAATTTTTCCATTTGAAACAAATACTGATTAATTGAATAAATAAATCATTATATTTAATACAAATAAATATTTATTTGATAATAGTCAAATAACCGATTATTTGAATCAAATAAATTTTTTTTCTCAGTGTAAATATTTTTATTTTGACAAACTGGAAATACTCGTAAAATTTGGTTTTAGATTAGAAGGTTTAAATATAAATACCAAAAGTGTAAACGTAAAAAAAATTTAAATTATTTGTTGCAAAATTAATTTATTATTATCTAAGAAAAAAAAATGTAGAACTTCTATATCGATACAAAAAAAGTGGCCCACTCTCCTCTAATTGATTGTATAGAATGTAAATCTATGCCTTCCATATTGTAATTGATTAAATGATAAACTTTCGGGATGGATAGAAATTAAAAAAATTGTAAATTATCTTCTTTCTAAACTATCATATTCTTTTCAAATAGTAATTAAATTTAATTTATTAAAAATACGAGAGAATATTTAATTTAATCTTCCTTTTTTGTTTATAGTAAATCTGATAAATTGAATAAATAACATTTTACAAATGGTTCTTTTTCTAAAATCAGACTTAAAATTAATTTATTATCGTGTCAAATTTTTTATCATTGGAATATTTGCTTCTATACAAATTTTTATATGCGTTTATCAGTAGAATAAATCAGAAAATAATGGTTTAATTAACCAATTAGAAATAATTTTTTTTTTTAAGTTAAATCTAGAAAAATGTTAATTTTTTTCTATAATTAAAAAGTAAATTTTAATTTTTTATTATAAGAATAAAAAATTAAATATAAAAAAAAAAAATTCAAAAAATATTTTATTAATAAATTTTGGTTTTTTTTCAATAAACTTTGATAAGATTGATCAATAAAAGTCAACAAAAAGTCGTTATGACAGTTTAGAAAAAAGATAATGTATTCTTTCTAAATTTTTATCCTTTCCTAAAATCGAAAAAAATTTAATATTTATCATATTTTAATATAAAAATATATTATCCTTTGATAATTTTTCAGCTTATTAACTATATTTTTTTTTACAAATAACAATAAACATCAAACAGTAAATAAAATCCGAAAAGCGAAAGTATTATAAAATTAAAATTCACAATATTAAAAAACGTGCGAAGCTTTCGAAATATAAAATAAAAAATTTTCAACATACAATTATTATCTATGTTATTCATGCACGCATAAAAATAAAGTGCCTGAAGTTCCTTAATGTTCAAATAAATGAAATAATTTTTTTTTTTTAAATTACAAAGGCAATGACAAATAAAAAATTATTAATGTATTTTTGAATTAAGAAATCAATATTTTATAATAAAATTTGAATCTAAAAAAGTTGTACATTTTTTCGTTCATTTGAACATTCAAAACTTCAGGCACATTAAAAATAGCGAAATTTGTAAAAATAAAAATTATTAACAAATTTGCATATATAAATGTAATGATGGGAACGTCAAACATTTTTATAATTATATGTAAAATTTTCCATGCGTTATTTTTTTTTTTTTTTTTTTTTAAATTTGACGTACACATTTACAAATTGTCAGTATTTGATGGTCAAACTAATTACAAAATTTAAGGGGAAATTATATTTTAAAAAATTGTTTAAATACACACACACAGTTTTCTATTTTATTTTGTTATATTTTGTATATAGAAAATATTTATAAATAAAAATTAAAATTAGCCGTGCGCTTAATAAAAAACACACCGTGCAATTTAAATTTTAAGGCAATGATTCGAATTTAAATTCCAAAAAAATTAGAATTTTGAAAAAAAAAAAAAAAATTTTTTTTCCCTAGTATCAGAAAATTATAATCTTTATTATAAATTAGCATCATATCCTGTGGCATTATTTGTGGTGTATAACAAATTATAAAAATCGCTGAACCGTTAATATTTGACCAATTAGAGGAAATTGCCTTTTTATTCAAGGAAATTACTTTCATATTAGGTCGATTAACTTTTTTTTCTCTCATCATAAAATGATCGCTCTAAAAACCTAAATTTATAGAGTTGATGTGTTATAAAAACTAATTGTTTGGATTTTTCTTTCAAATTCGAATCAATTGCCAAAAAAAGAAAAAGTTATCCTCTATTTATCAGATATTTAAAAAAATGTAGCTCACAGAACACTTTTTTCATGTTTTTATTAAAACTTTGTGGTTTTTGGAGTCTAAATTTTTTTTTCTGCTGATAAATTTTGATATTATAATTTTTATTGTAAAATAGAAATAATTACTGAGTACTCACCACAAATCTATTGACCTTAACCTTCTGCGTGCGTGGACTCTCAGTGGTTTGTGATCCCAAGGACTCAAAACGGGCCCTCAAGCTGCTGGCTGATTCAATACTATTTTGATCACCTGTGCCTTGAGCAATTTCCATTTCTGCAACATTATGATTTGTCGATTTGCCATCGGTCGTTTCCCAATGTTCGAATTTTGCGCGCAAAGTTTTAGCTCTTGCTGCATTCTGTGCCTGTTTCAGAAATTCATCTTCCACCTGTATTGGAAAAATTCAATGAATATATTTTTTTTTCTTTCTCAAAATAAATTAGAATGTAATAACAGGGTTCTCACTGCATTTTTATTTCATAATTCACTGACTTTTCTCTGATCAAAAATACATTTTTTCCGATTTTTCCAAAAGTTTTATTTTGGTATAAAGATATAGTAAAATAAGGAGAAAAAAGGTTCAATAAAAAAAAATATGACTTTTACAAAATTAAACAAGCTACTTGTTTAATTTTTATTTAAATTAAAAATTAACTACACAAAATTTTTAAAAAATGTTGGATTAAACAAAATATTGTTATTTTTACATTCGATGTTTTTACTTTTGTTATTTTAATTAATTATAATTTTTAATTACTTTTTTACATTACAAAAAAATTCTTTGTTTACTATTTTAAACGTTAAAATTTTTTATTTTTTTTTTACTTTCTTATTTTTAATATACAATTTTTTTTATCAATTTGTTAGTTATTAGAAAAAAAAATTTCTTTAATTTGTTATTTTGTAACATTTTTTTTTTTTAACAAAAACTAACATTTTTTTTAACAGTAAAAAAATTTTGTATATACAAAATAAAAAGTTTAAAAAAAATTTTATAACAAAATAACAAATGCTATATTACAAAAAAATTGTTTTCTAATTTCTATTTTGATCATAACAATTTTTTAAAACTTGTTATTTTGTATTTACTTTACTAAATTTTGTAACGTTTAAAAAACATTATGTACAAAATAAAAAATTAACTAAAATTATCGTTTGTAATAACTAACAAAGTAAAAAAAAAATTGTGTAAAAAAACAAAAATTCCCAATGTTCAAAATAACAAAAAAACAAATTTTTTTTCAATGTAAAAAAAGTAATTAAAAATTATAAATAATTAAAATAAAAGTAAAAAAAATTGTAAAAATAACAAAATTTATTTTGTTTAATATATTTTTTTTCAAAAAAAATTTTGTGTATTTTTTGACAAGATTAAATTTTCCAGATTTTATTTTTATTGCCCCAAGAAAATTTTTTTATTAAATTTTTTTTTTTTACTAAAATAAATACCTTATCGGAAGCTCTGACATAATTAGGATCATCATCTTCCGATTCCTCAGCTTCCTCTTCCTCCTCATCTTCGGATTCTGAGGCAGTGGGTTTTGAGAATTTGTCCTCGGGTGGTGGTGTAAATCGCTTAAGAGGTTTAGGTCCATCTGGAATTTCTTCCTTGGTGGCATTTTCCTCCATTTGTCGGAATATTGATAGCATTTTTCTCGCTGTGTCGGTATGGACCACTTCATCAACTCTGTCATCAGCTCTGACGACATCTGGATCACGATATACTTCTCTGTCAGGTGAATTCATCTATTGACAAAATATATTCTTAATTATAAAACTCTTTTTTCTTCTATTATATAATAAAATTACAATTTTTCAAATAAAAATATAAATATTAGTAATATTTATTAATCAAAAATAGTTTTTAGCTAAAAAAAAAAAATTTTTGTTAGATAAAATTTACACACAGCACAAAAATGTCAAGTTGAATTAAAAATATAGGAAATAATAAGTAAATTTTACACTATACTGAAATTTTAAGACAATAAAAAAAAACTTGTTCTGGCAATAAATTTACGTAATTTGTTTATCTTTCAACCTTATCAAATTTTCATTGCCTTTTTTTTTTGCTTTATACTTTTAAAACATGTTGATAAGAAAATTCTAAATGTTTGAGAATAATTATAGTTAAAAAAAATTATTTGATTCAAATAATTAATTACTTGAACGGAATAATTTTTATTTTAAATAAACTGTATTTTATAATTTCGAAACAAATACCATTTGACTCAATTATTAAATAAGAATTAATTTTTTAAAAAATAAATTAATAATAATTTAATTAATATTTGATAATAGTTGATTATTTTCAAATACATTTTTTTGTTTACAAAATTTTTTAATAATTTTCAATTATTTAAAATCACTAAATTAAATATAAAGAGTTCATACACTTTTTATTAATAGAAAAAAAAATGTCAGTAAAAATGTTTATCGTCCATTTCGAAAAGATGAATCACCTTTACCATTGGTGAATTATACCTGCCCCCCCTGCATTCCACAAACTCTATAGATCTTCAAACTATACCTTCATTTTAATCCCCATTTGTACAGTTTAAACACGAATTTTATAATCACAGACGAATTTTTTAGTTGAATTCAAAATAAATTGTTTTTAAATTAATTTTTAAATTTATCAAAAAGGTTATAATATATTTTTGTATTTATTGACTTTTATTCAACTTTTTCCTATTTTATAATATAAAACAAAAGATTGTTTTATTAAAAAATAAAAAATTTCAATTTACCATAATTAAAAAAATTTTAATTTTTAAAAAATAATATTTAATTTAAAAAAATGTATATAAAATACAAAATTATAATATTATTATAAAATGTAAAACTGGAATTATTTGACCCTTCTCAAAAGGATAATGTTTCATCTCTCTCCCAAAAAAATTTACCTTTCTTTTCAGTAACCGGTCTCAAAAGTGAAATGTTATTTCTGACACTTTGTTAAAAATACCCAAAAAAAAAAAACACTCACTTTGCAAACTAATAAAAATTATAATTCGAAAACAATTTCTTTTTTTTTCTGTATTTTTCGATTACGAATATCAAAAAATAATTGTCTTCTTATTGTTTCGAAAAAAAATCTCTGTGTCGCCCGGCTAACTCTTTACGAATAGAAGGATGTGGGTATACTAACGGTATAAGTCTGGCTTGCTTCTCAAGGTTCAAGGACAGTTAAGGAATCAAGTGTCTGCACCACCATGTCCCACAGTCCCATACGATGTGCTTCGTCCATACCCCTTCTTTATTGTGTGTAATACACATGGATACATATATATATTTAAAATATTCATATATATATATATATATAGTCTAACACATCGAAAATCCCTAATTGCAAGACAGTTCTGTGTACATGAGTTGAGGGAATTACAAATCAAATAAAAAAGCACTTTCAGCATGTATATCCTTTTACTCACTTTGTCTTTAGTCCCCCTTTGAGATTTTTTTTTTATTTTTTTATAATGTGTATTAAGAGTATATGAACCAGGTCACAGATTTAATTTTTATTTTTAACATTGATATGGATGACAAGCTTTATAGATATATAGTAAAAAGAAAATATTATTTTTAGATAATGTTTGAAATTTAAATAATTTTACTGAAACTTGTGTGAGAATAAGATTTTTTTTCTTCTTTTTTTAAGCTGACATTTATTGTTGTGATTTCACATGTAAATATTCTCCGCAGATTTTTTTCGAAAAATACTTGATAAATTGGTTAGGAATTTTTTTTTGGAAAACTTAAAAATAGTATCAGAATTTTGATGTCATATGCCAAAGTAAATTAATATTTTGTCAAAAAATTTATTTTTAATAATTGTATATTTGTGAAAATTACTCAATATGAAATTGTTTGAAATTAAATTTTTTTTTGATAAATTATTAATAATTTGTCACATAACAGCGATTTCTGAGGCATGTGAAAAACATATAAAACCCATAATTGCCCAAAGGACCATTTGATCGAAAACCAATTGTCCGAATTAAATTTTGTCAGAGTCTTTTTTTGTCCGAAATGAGAATTGCCAGAATATTTATTTCTCCAATTTTACAATGAACATAAAATTTACTGTTCCGAAATCATTTTTGACCGAATTTTTATTTCTCAGAATCTAGATTCATCCGAATATTTATTTTTCCGAATTTACGTTAATCCGAAAGTTTATTTTACAAAAAGTGGAAGTATCCGATTTTTTTTTCACCGAATTACTGTCTAATTGAATTTTTAACAATTCGAAACAAGGAATGACAGAAAATTTGTTTTTCCGAAATGTGATTAGACAGAATTAATAAATGATAGAAAGTCTTTTAAACCGAATTTTCATTTTCCGAAATTATGGATTAAAGAATATTTATTTGACTGTATTTAAAAATAACAGAATATCGATGTCAAAGAATTGCCAATTGACTGAAAAATTATCAAGGTTATGTTTATCGTCGCGGTTTCCCGTACTCTGTACGCCATCTCTATAATAAAAAGCAAACTAAGTTGACGATCGGCAAAGTTGGGAAATCGCGACGATAAACATAACCTTAGTAATTTTTTGTTCAATTCTTCAATTGGCAATTCTTTGACATCGACATTCTATTATTTTTAAATACGGTCAAATAAATATTCTGTAAAATGTAATTTCGGACAAATGAAAATTCGAATAAATGTATTTTCTATTAAAAATCTTTTCTGATAGACGTCATTTCGGAAAAAAAAATTTCCGTCATTCCTTTGTTTCGAAATGTTGAAAATTCAATTAGACAGTAATTCGGTATAAATAAAAATCGGATACTTCCACTTTTTAGTAAAATAAACTTTCGGATCAACGTAAATTCGGAAAAATAAATATTCGGATGAATCTAGATTCTAAAAAATAAAATTTCGGTCAAAAATGAATTTGGAACAGTAAATTTTATGTTCATTGTAAAATGGGAGAAATAAATATTCTGCACGGAGAGAAATCTGCTGCGATTTGCGCATGAGCAAGTCCAAAGGAATATAGCATGGACACTTCCAAGCAAAAACCATAAGATTCCATCTGAATATCAGGTGAGACTCATACAATAATACCTCGCTCACTTAGGATTTTTGCTTGAAAGCGTCTGTTACTATATTCCTAAGGACATGCTCATGCGTAAATCGCACCAGATTTCTCTCCGTGTGGCAATTCTCATTTCGGACAAAAAAAGATTCTTGACAAAACTTAATTCGGACAACTGGTTTTCGATCAAATGGTCGCCTTCGGACAATTGGGTTTTATATATATGTTTTTCAATAGCCTCGCGATTTCTTAAACTATTTTTGAATTCTCCATAAAATCTTAGCTCAATCCATTATAAATTATTTACGAGAAAATTTACGGAGAATATTTACATATATAAAATTACAACAATCACATAACCTTAAATTTTTAATTTTCTTTTTATTTTCAGATTCAAAATTTTTGTTTCATAATGGTATACATATAGACAAACTAAAAATTGACAAATAATTGGAATCTAAATTTATTGCCAAATTTAAATTAACATTTTTATAGTTGAAAAAAAATAAGGAGTGCATTTGTTTATAATTAAAGGAGAGAATTTTGTAAAAACCCTGTATTGGGTTTATAATGAAATAAATTATTATTATTATTAATTAACATTTTTTATTTTTTCTTACAATTTATGTAATTTTTTATTCAATTTTTATTATGTATGCTCCTTTTTCTCTTTAAAATATTCTCATCTTCAATTCTGATTTTGTTTTATGGTTAAAAAAAATATAAAAAATACAATTTCTAATTTGTTTATTAAATTTTTGAACAAAATATTGTTAATAAAATTAAACGAACAGAATTATGAAAAATCTTTCGAAAAGTAAAATGAGCTATTGTTTGTAAACTTTTTAGTTTGAGGTTATGTTAATGGGTTAATTTTCCCATTGAAGATCTATGTAAAAATTGCATCAACTTTGACCTGCCCTTAAAGCAATTATTTTTCGCTTCAAATTCTTGTTTCTCTAGAAATTCTAAAATTTAATTTCTTTTTTGTAAATTGGCCCAATATTCTTAATTTTTCGCAAAATTTTCCTTCTAATTTTGGGGAATTTTTAAAATTCTTGATTTTCTTTTCAACACTATGACAACGAATCCTTAAATTATTTTTGAGTCCTCCATACAAAATTTTAGTTCAATCTGTTAAATTTATCAAATATTTTGCAAAAAAAAAAAAAAAACCTTTCTGATATTCGATAAAATTGTGAATTTATTAATTCTACATTCAATTCGGCAAATTCCAAAAGTGGAATTTGGTTTCTGGTTTGTTATCTTTTTAATTTCTTTCAATGATATGTAAAAAATTCTGCTTTTCTACATTATCGACATATGATAATAAAAGATTAATTCTGTTTATGACATTAATTAATTTCGATTTTTTTCAATCAATGTTATGGAGCGAATTTGACTTTGGATTCGTATTCAGTGCCCAAAAGTAGGTATAGAGAAGGCATAGTATAATCTGAGGGAAAAGACACTATTTTTTTTGTGGGGGTTTAATGAGACTAGAGTCCCCCTCCATGCAACTCGAAGTAGATATTGCTGTTGAGATACAGACAGTCCGTGTCTGTCATTTACTAAAAAACTATTCAAAAAAAATCTAAGTATAAAATTTACAATTTTTATTATTTTTTATCGGTAATTTTTTTGTAGGCTTTTTTCCTGATTCTGAACAATCAATCGTATGAATTTTTAAAAATTTTAATATTTTCAAAAAATAAAATTTCTAAAATGGTCAAAAAATGTTTTTTTTTAATTTCGATAATTCACGATAATTTTCGATCTCAAATAATGTCGCAGAAAAGAAATTGACACCCTTTAACAACATTAAGGAGGTTCAATCCATTAACATAACCTCAAAATAAAAAATTGTTTTTAACAACAAATAAAACTATAAATAAAACTATAAAATTGGATCTGTCGAATTTGGGTGTAATAAATTTTAAATATATTTTTAGTTGTGTTAAAAAACTACTTTTTAGTTTGAGGTTATGTTAATGGGTTGAACCTCCTTAATTTCTATGAGTTGAAATTTCACCGATCTCTCCCCTTAATTTTGTTGGGTTGAAATTTCGCCGATCCTTTTCCATAAAAAAATGAGATTTTATCATCTAAATACGAAGCTGAAGTACGCAACGTTTATGATAAACGATTTTTAAAAAAATAATTTTTTAAAATGAAAAATTCTATAATTTTTTGCCTAAAAAATATTTTTTTCTAATTTGTTAATTAATGAAAAATACAAAAAATATTTTTTACGCAAAAAATTATAGAATTTTTCATTTTAAAAAATTATTTTTTTAAAAATCGTTTATCATAAACGTTGCGTACTTCAGCTTTGTATCTAAATTAAAATTGTTAGAAACTCCGAATTTTCAGAAACGAAAGAAAATGTAATTTCTACAAATAAAAATTCTATTAATTATCAAAATGTCCAAAATGTATCTAATTGTAATTTTATCAAACACCAAAAAAAATTAAGATTTTGTCATTTTTGACATAAAAATATATAAATTGTAACTATTTAAGTTCTTATTCTTTACGAAATAAGTCACTTTTATATGATAAAACGAGAATAAAATTAATATCTATTCTTTATTATTAATTATTATCTTGGGTTAAGACAGTCAGCATGCGGGTCAAAAAAAAAAAAAACTGCAAACAATACGAGCAATGTAAACACAATGCAAAGATTTATTCAATCTTATATAGCTGCTCTTTGGTTTTTTAATCCTTGAAATCAAAAGGAATTCTTTATATTATTGTTATAGTTTAAAAAAATTAAGCGAAATAAAAAATAATTGTTTTTTAATGAATATTCGAGCAATGTGATTCGCAAACATAAAAAGAATATATATATATATATATATATATATTATTGTTAGTGGAAAACATTTTCTGTAAAAAAGAAAAAGAAAATGTCAACTAGCGAACCTTCATTTGACCGTCGCGAGGGGGAGTAATGCGAAATTGTCTTCTCTTCTTCTCAGGCTCTTTGTAGGTCTCGAAGAATTTAAATTTGTTTGAAATGTCGGAGGTCTCGACCTGCACCTCAGCAGTTGTGTCCGAACTGCGTACAACATCGTCCGAAACTTGACGGCCCATGAACGCCTTCTTACACACGTACACTTTTATGATATTGCTACGCAGTATTTGATTAGATACTTTTTTTTAAAAAAAAAGTATCTACTCATTAAAAGTTACCCCTTTAAAAATGTTAATAACTGGTAAAGGGCAGATTTATTAAATCGTACATTATTTCAAAAAGATAATATGCACATATTATCTGCATGAACATCTGCCCTCTTTTCAAAAAAATAAAAATTTTAGTAAATACAGCACGGTGCGCCAGAAATTGGTTTAAATAAAAATGAATTGGCACTTAAAAATTCTTTTTGATTATGATTCTTAGATGAATAACAAACATTTCTCAATAGTTTTTAAAATCAGTTTACGTGCCCGATTTAAATAAAATTGAGTTTTTATATAAAAACAGTGTTTTATGGGGAATCAGAATTTATTTAATCTAATAAATACTGTAATAAATGATAAAATAATTACTTATTTTTAATTTTACATATAAATAATTATATTGCTGTAGTGTTTGTGTCCGATTTTAAAAAATTAAATTATAATGTTAAAAGAACGATTTTAAGAGTGACAAAATTTATTTAAGAAAGTCGAATGATCTCTGAAATTTTTTGGCAAGAAGAGACCTTTAATTATCGCTCTATAAAAACGGCACTAAACGTGAAAATGATAAACATTGATTTTAAAATACTTTCTTCTCGAAAGACGGACACTTTTTACAAAAGCAGCTAGAGATCCTTATCTTATATAAATTTCCTAAATCCTAAAGATTATACGAATCCATACAAAAACACGATTGCAAAACGAAAAGTAATATAATGAGGGGTTCATTACCTCCTGCCGCCGTCAGATGGCAGCAGCATGCAGGGCGCACAAAGTCGCAGCTGTTATTAGATTACTTTTCTACTTTTTGTTTTGCAACCATGTTTTTCTATGGATTCGTATAGTCTTTTGGATTTAGGAAATTTATAAGATGAGGATTTTGGCTGATTTTGTTAAAAGTGTTCGTGTTTCGAGAAAAAAGTATTTTAAAATCAATACTATTTCACATTCAGAGCGATAATTAAAGCTCTCTTTTTGCCAAAGAATTTCAGATACCGTTCGACACTCTTAATGCATAAATATAAAAACGAAACAAGAAAATAACTTCATTGTTAATAAATTTATATGAATCCAAATCTAAAACATCTATTATCTATACGCATATCAGTATACATTAAATAAATTCTGGTTCCTCATAAAATACTATTTTTAAATATTGAAAACTCAATTTGTTTTAAATTGGGCACGTAACCTGATTTTAACCAATTTTTTTTCCATTTTTACACATTTTCCCTAAATTGTAACAAAAAAACTAAAATTTCTACTCTATGGAAATTTCTTATATATATTTTTTCAGTTCATTTGTAATGAGGCACTTTTGTGTTTTTTGAAAGTATAATACATTTCAAACATTTTTTTTTTTTATAGTTTTTAAAGATTTTTTAAATCTTTAGTTCGTATAATCATCGTTTTCGATGAAATTCACATATTAGAAAAAAATCTCATCTATTGAGATTAAATTTTCTTTTATCATAAAAAAAAATGAGGGAAAAACTTACATCTCTGGCTCTTCGTGGTGTTTCTGTCGTAGTTTTGGGATTTACAGGTGTAACCGGTCTTCCAGTTTTTGCTGCTGAAGCATCCAATTCCAAGAATAGTGATCGTGACTTACGACTAATACCTATTTTAAATAAAATTTTTTTTTAGAAAAATTAAACTTTTGTTTAAACTAAATTTGTTAAAAATATTTTTTAACTACATCTAGAATGTTCTCCAGCTAATATTTAAAAAAAAACAATTTAATTTTTTTTTAAAAAAACCAAATGTTTCTCTAATTAATTAATTAATTAAATAATCCAAATTCAAGCATTGAATTTTCTAAATATAAATTAGCAAAAAATTTTACTTATTTGAAACAGAAACTGACTTTTTGCTTATGAAATAATTAAATTCGGACGCATAAATATTCCCCCCATTAAATTTGATGGAATTTCTATCGCTTCAAAATTAATAAGCTTGAATTTCTATGTTACCGAATTTTATAAAATAGAATTTATATATTAAATTGAATTTTCATATTTAAAATTTTCTATTTAACTGAATTCATAAGTAAAAGAATTTTTTTTAGCCGAACTTTCATAAAACAGATTTTCTAGTTGACCGAATTGAATATAAAATTTCTACTTAGCCGAATTTTTAAATAGAAGAATTTACATTTTATCGAAACTTTATTTGTCGATAGTTTCATTTGTACGAATTGTCATTTTTGAGAGAATTATCAAATGATCTAATTTTCATTTGACCGAAATTGCAAATGTCCGAAAAAATATCCGAAAAGTTTTGGCGCGAATTTTAAAATTAACCAATCAGTAATAATAATCAAGAAAATTGTGATTGATTAATTTTAAAATTCGTGCCAAAACTTTTCGGATATTTGTTCGGACATTTGCAATTTCGATCAAATGAAAATTTGGCGTTTCAAAATTTCTGTCAAATTGACAATTTGTATACAAATAAAAATTCTGGCAAATCAAGTTTTGGAAAAATTAGAATTCTGGTATTTAAAAATTCGGCTGTCAAAATTCTGTCAAATGAAAATTCAGTTTAATAAAAGTTCTATGAAATAAAAATTCTTTTAAATGTGAATTGAGTTAAATGAAAATTAAATTAAAAACAATTAGGTTAATTAAAAATTTTGTATTATGGAAATTTTGTAGAATATAAATTCTGTTCAATAGAAATTGTATTAAATGAAAATTCGGGCAACTGGAAAATCTGTTTTATGAGAGTTCGGTTAAATAAAAAATTTCTTTACTTATGAATTCAATTAAATAAAAATTGTTAAATTCTTAAATACAAATTTATAAATTTGTTGCTACATTTAAAACACATATAAAGAAATATTTGAATTTGAAAATAAAAATTAAACCTTTATAATACTAATTAAAAAAATTTTCTTTTCTTAGTACGGTCCTGATTATTGATCTTAATATTAATATTTTATTCCTTATCGTTCAATATTCCAATAATGGAAGTTTTTTATAATAAATAAATTAATTTATTTTAATAAATTAATTAATTTTATAATTAATAAATTAACTAATTTATCAGAAAGTATTGAGATTTCCATTTTCGCAAAATTAAAGAAAAAATAATTTTATTTGAGCGCCACTTTTGACAAAAATAGAAATTTCTTTAATAAAAGGTAAAAAAAAAAATTGAACAATTTTACCTGCTGCTATAACTTCCTCGTCTGGTTTCTCTTTGTTTTCGTTAACATCATCCGATGCTGGAATTGACTCGCCTCTTTCGAATTTTTCTTTGATTGAACGTGCATTTGTTGCATGTTGTATTTCTTCAACTGCATTTACTTTTGTTATACGTTCACTATCTGCTACTGCTTGTTGATATAATTCTTTCATTTTCCCTTGCTTGCCCTGAACATTAAAAATACATAAAAATTAATAATAATCAAATAAAAATGTATCTACTCTGTAAAATTATATTTTATTCATCCAGAGAAATTTTTTATTCAAATCAAATATAATTAAAAATTAATTTAATAAAAATTAAGAATTAAAACAAAAATTCGCTGAATATTAACTTGATTCAAATAAAAGTTTAATTTGGCACAAGTAAAATTTTATTTAAAACATATAAAACATTTTTTTCACACCAAATAAAATTGATTTAAAACCAAGTAAGTATTTATTTAGCTTTGAGACAAAAATATATTTTTTTTCCTCTTAGATGTATAAAGAACTGGTTAAAATTGATTGAATATTCACCATAAAAAGTCTTGATCGAATGCCCGCAATCTCTTCTTTCCTTGCCTCTCTTTGGGACTCGCGTCTTCCTTGTTGACTCGTTGTTTCCCATCGATTTTTCATATCATCCATTTTTGTAAAGCTAATGGGTCGCTCTCGAGCTCCTCGTTTTGCCCTCACGATTTCTGTATCGACTTCTAAAATATTATAAACAAATAAAAAATGTTATTGACCGAAATATGATGATTATAATTATAATAAATTTAATGTTTTATAAATCTAAAGTTCCATTTTTCTAAAAAAAAATTAATTTAATGTAAAAGCTTGAAATAGGTAGTATCAAAATTTACCATTTGCCACAAGTGTAATTTTTAAAAATTGATTCTTAAATAAATAAATTTGAAAACATTCTTCAGACAAATTAAAAAGCAAATAAATTATTTTCAAAACAGTTTCTCACAACTTTTTTTAAGTTTTTTTTTTTGCTATTTGTAATAATAAATTTGTATTTTTTACATTAAACGCAAACATTTTTTTTAAAACATTATTCAAAAAATTCGATAAAGAAAAAAAATACTAGTTCCTATACACAAAATTTGTAATTAAAATCAGAACAATATAAAAAATTTACCTGTTATTACTTAATAATTTATATGAAATTATTAAATAAATGACACTTAAACGATAAAGTTAAGTTAATTTTTTTTTCGTCAGATGGATATTTAAAAAAAGTACAATTTTTTACAATTTTCTAAAAAATTGTAAATTTCTCCAAAAATTATTGTTTTTTTAATGTTCTTGAAATTATTTTAATATTATGTACTATTTTTTTTGTATGAAATTAAAGTTATTTACAAATTGGTTCGAAATTCTTATTTTTTTCTTTACAAATTCACATTTTGTTTTCAAAAATTTTTTAAATCCCTAAAATGTCTATTCTTTTATAATTCCTATTTATTATTCACTTTATTAAACTGCACAAAAATTCTCAATTTTTTCCCCACAAATTCACATTTTATTTTGAGAATTTGAAAAAATTCTCCATTTCTCCTCATTAAAAACAAGAAAGTTTTATTAATAAATATAAATAAATTTACAAAACTATTATGAAGAAAAAACATAAAATATTTTTTGTAAAAAAGAAAAATTAATCACCTTTAAAAACAAAACACGTATTTAAAAAAATAAATAAAAAATTATAACAAAAAAATTTTTCAAAATTAGAAAGACAAGTGAATATATAAATAATAATTTTCACAAGCACAAGACGATACAACGACACTCAATGATCAACTGACAATAATATTAAAGTCACAATTGTCGGTTCAGTTAATTTGAAAATAAAAACAATTGAATGACAAGTCAGAGACATTATACACAATAAAATCTTGTTAAAAATAAGCGAAAGTTCGTTGAGAGAAAACATGGAAATTAAAAAAAAAAATATAAATAAAAATAAATTTCTTTGTTAAAAAAAGATGAAAAATAAAATTTCAGGCCTCGGATTGATTTTAAAGTGCAAAAAAGTCGTTTTAGTCGATTTACATTAGAAGAAAAAGAAATAGAAAAAGTCGATTTTTTTAAACTTTAATAAATTTCAGTAAATATATTATTTCTATTAACCATTGTTATTAGATGTTAAAAATAAATTTTAATAATTCCTTAATAACAATAAGTGCATTGAAATTTAACAAGAATTTTTATTTAGATAATATTTCAAAATTTATCAGAGACAAATTTTCAATAATTTCAAAAATTTTAAATTTAAAAAAAAAAATACGAAAGTTACTTTTTTTGAAAAAAATTTTCAAACCTAATTTATGCAAATTATTTATAAATTCAAAATTTTATCAAACTTTAATTTAATTAATTTAAAAAATTTAATAAATAATTTAATTTTAAATGTAGTGAATTATTAATTTAGCGAAGAATTTTAGATAATTTTTAAAATAATTGAGCTTTGGAAGAGTTAGTTTGACATAAAAAAGTAATAAGTATTTTATTTTTAATTTAATAAATTAATTAATTTAAAATTTTTATTTTGTAAAAATAAGTAGAAAATGTCGATTTTATGATTTTATTATTTTATTATTAATTAAATAAATATTTTATTTCTATTAACTATTGTTATTACATTTAAAAAATAAATTTTAATAATTCCTTAATAAGAATAATCGAATAGGAATTTATCAAAAAAATTTTTTTACATAAAATTTTAAAATTGAACTTGGAAAAATTTTCAAGAATTTAAAAAATTTTTAATTATATAGAAATAGAATCGATCCACTGAAAATTATCTGAGAATGGTTGATAATGTATTTTTTAAGAAAGAAAAAAAAAGTAGAAGATTTTTTTCAATTTTTTGTAATTCTATTTTATTATTAATAAAATAATCTTTATAGTTTCTGATAAGTACATCTTAGTTGCCGAAACGTTAATTTAAAACATTTACCGAGTGATAAATAAAATTTTTATTATATATTACATCATTTTTAATGTATAATTAGGAAAATGTTTAGTATAAGTGAAGAAATTTTTGTTTCTTGAAGACGTTTAGACACCTTGAATTATGTACGAAGAAATTAATAAATTATGAAAAACATTGAAAATAGGATATTATTTTTTAATAGAATTTCTTTTTTTTATTTTATAAAGTTATTTAAATTTGAAAAAAGAAACTAAAAAATTCTTTTTTCTTCAATTCTTGTTTCTGTAATTTTTATATTTTTCTAAAAATTATTAAATTATTTACCTTCTGTCTCTTCTTCCTCGATTTCCTCTTCACTCGCGCTACTTTCTTCATATGGTATTCCATTGAGTGATTCATCAGCAACTCCAATATCCATACCTTTCGCTTGGAATCTGCAAAAATTATTTTAATTAGCTCATATGTTAATACTAAAAAAAAAATAACTAAATTTTTAAAACTTTTTAAACTATTTAATAATAAATAGAAAATTAAATTGACTTGTAAGAAAAAGAAAAAATGTAAATATCTTGGAAATCATGTGTGTGTGTGGATATGTAATGATGAAAGTGACAATTTTTTCTACACATTCAAGATAAATTAGTTTGTGAGAACACAAAATTACGGTAGTTGACATACTATACATTGCTTTTGCCGTAAGTGATGATATGTTAAAATTACTTCTCATTGTACTAATTAACCAAAGTAAAGTTACCATTGTTCGTGATTATAAAAAGAGTGAAATTTATTCTTTTCAAGTGTAAATTGTTTGGATATTCTTTACTAGGACAGAGAAATTAGAGTAAATAGTTCAACTGAGAAAAAGTCATTTTTATTAGTTTTGAACTTTACTAATGAGAAAGAGAAAATCACATTTCTGCCAGTTTTCATTATTAGTGGTAAACAATTAAAAATGTTTTTTTTCTTAAAATACAAATATAAAGATATATTTTTAATTTTCTATTTGTATAATTAACGATTTTAATTTAAATTATTTTTTTGTCCAAAAAAATGTTTCTCGATCAATAATTTGTACGCAAAAAAATATTAGATAATTGAAAATCATTTTTTTTCAATAAAAGTTCACCGACTTTAAACAATTATATTTTAATAACAAATAACAAACTACTTTTGATAAAATTATTTATTGCCCAAAAACAAGATAAATATCTATTTTTAAGAGATTAATTTTATTTTTTTGATAACTGATAATTTTCATAGAATTTTGAAAAAAAAAAAAAAAAAAAAAAAAAATAGGAAGCAAAATTTCAGTATTGGAATTACAATGAAATAACCACAATCCTTAAATTGTTCGAAGAATCGTATATTGTACCTTGAACTTTTACCGTTGCATACTTACTTGGCCAATTTACTGAGAATGCTGGGCGATCTTTTTACTGCCACTTGAGAGGGTGACCTTTCGATGTCATTTGTGGTTTCGGTTGACGCTTTTTCAAACACTTGAAACCGCGATTTAACGTTCAATGTGGAAAGCTCCTCCAATCCGAGGTCTGGTTTGTCAGATGCTAAGAAAACAAAAAAAAAATGAATTAGCAATTTTTTTTCACTATTTTTCTTCAAAATATCATCGAACACATTTAGAAGCTGTTAGCAATGTCGGATTTCAAAAATTCACTACTAGTCTCTAAAAAAAAGTTATTAATTATTATTTATTACAAATTATTTGTTCATTTCATTGATAAAATTATTAAAATCATTGCTCTGCATTAAAATAATGATTTTTTTTTAATTATTATTAAAAAAAATGCTTGTTAGACGAAAATTTAAAAAATGCACAAAATTAGTGTATAATTTTTGTTGACAAAACTTACAAACTAAAAATAAACAATATTATGTAAAAACATGCTATAAAAAAAAATTAACAGGTCTTTTGTTTTCGTTATTAATTGAATAATAATTTAATGCGCTGTTAAGTGAAAAAACATTTTTAAAACGATTAAATAAGATTAAAAGTTAAAATTAATAATTTATATTGCAAGCGATTGTTAGAACGATGAAAAAGAAATAAATAAAAAAAAACACGTTTTGCAGGGCACTCGATCAATTTACCTCTAACCACATCGGGTGGCAATTCTTTCGGCTCGTTCTCGCGAATTATCATTTCCGGCTTTCGAGGTCGCACTATGGAGTTTAAAATAAGCACATATTTTCATTTTAAATAAAGTTAATTGATAGACTGAAAAATAATTTATTTTATTCTAGTTAATCTATTGACTATTATGAAATAAATATTTTTTTGAACCGAATAAATTTTATTTGAATTAAATAAAATTTGAACTAATAATTACTGTATTTGAAAGAATAATTACAAAACAAATACCATTCAATTCAAATAATAATTATTTAATACAAATATTCATTTAATAATAGTCAAGTAACCGATTATTTGAATAAAATAAATTTTCTTCAGTATTAGAAGAATCAAAATATTATTATTCTATATATATATATATATATTTTGACATCATCCGTGGAACATGTGATGCGATTTTATAAATGTTTTTTCAAAAAAATTTCCGAGAGATTAAAATAAAATTTTAAATTAAATATTTATAATTTCAAAATAATTTTAAAAATATTAAAATCACTTGGGAAATAAATCTCAAATTTCAAGGGAAAATTAAAAATTTGTTTAAAAGTGTTTTTTTGTGTATATTTATAAATTGAAATAATTATTTGAAACTTATCCAAATTTTAAAAAAGAGCTAAAATTAAAATATTGTAATTTCTTCTATTTTTTTCAAACAAGTATATTTATAACTTGCATAAGTGAATGCAAATTTTCACAATTTATATTGAATTATGAATCATTTCTAAATTATAAATATATATAGAAATTTCTCATATTGCATCTTATTATAAAATAAAGGTGTAAATTTATGTAGAAACTAACGAAAATATATTTAGAAAGCTGTTCAAAATATTACATGAATTTTGTTATTTGAAATTTAAAATCAAAGGTTAAATATCATTTTTTTTTAATATAAGAAATGTTGCAATAATAATTTTTCAAAGAAAATAATATTAATAATCTTTTCAAAAATTATGTTTAATTAATCATGAAAATTTACGTTTTATAAGTTGTATATTAAATAATACAATTCATTTACGTCTTGATTATTTATTTTTTATAAAAATCATTTTTATAATCGATAGTATTTTGATAAAAGGAAAAAATAAAATAAAATATGCAGCAGATTTATGATTGTGTTATTACTGCAGAACAATATAATCTTCTTTTATGGTAGCAAATTATGTCATATTTCCAACTTTATTTCTTATCTAAAGTGATCGATCATCAGACTAATAAACGGTTTTTTTTTGTCATTTGAACTTTCTTTTACAAATTTTTCCACGTATTTGATTATTATTTTTGAATTTTTTACTTTTCTAAATCAACTACAATAATTATAAAACAAAATATATGTCATATTATGATTTAGTGCTAAATTTGTCCGCAAAATTTAATTTTTAAAATCCCCTAACATTTCCCTATTTAATTTTTCTTGAAATTTTTTAATTTATTTCGATTTGGATTCTTCATAGTAAAATCTTGACATTTTAATTTGTGGTTTTTTTGAAGAAAAAAAAATTGCCTGACTTTTGAAAATTTTTTTCCTGATTTTTGTTTTCAATTAAAATAAAAGAAAAAGATTTTGTACTATTGAAAATTCAACAAGTTATTTTCAACACTTAAGTCTAATCTCAAAAATGAAAAAAAAGTGAACTTAAAAATTTCTAAAAAAAGTGTAAATTTTTTAAAATTCGATTAAGAAGTTCACAATGTTTATGATCAACGATTTATAAATATTTTTTTTTAAATTATTTTGAATTAAAGTTTTTAAGAATTTTCGTCTAAAAAATATTTCTTGTAATGTTTATAGATAAATATAAATAAATAATAAATAAATGATAAATAGTAAATAAACAAATTGTAAAAAAACATATTTTTAGACAAAATTTTTTTATTTTTTTTTATGAACGTTGTGGACTTTAGCATTGTTTAAAATTTTTGAAAAAAAATTTTTAATAATAAGAATTCTATTTTCTTAATTTGCAGTAAAAAATTTAACTAATTGAACATACTGACTAATTTTTTTGTCAAGAATTAGTTAAATTTTATTAATCGATTAGGAAATAAGAATTTTTTCCCTTAATTCATTGGATAAAATTAATTCATTAAAAAAAATTTAATTTTTCTGAAATTACGCTGAATAAAAAATTCAAATAATCAGTTCCTTAACTTTTATCAAATAAATATTTATTTTTATTAAATAATTACGAAGCTGAAGTAACGTAACGTTTATAATAAACAATTTTTAAATAAATAATTTTTTTAAATGAAAAATTCTATAATTCTTTTCCTAAAAAAATATTTCCTGTATTTTTTATTAATCAACAAATTATAAAAAGAAAATATTTTTTTAGATAAACAATTTTATAATTTTCCGTGTTAAGTAAAAATTTGATTTCTAATCTGATCATAATTTTAAAAAGAAAAAAATTTTTTTCACATTTTATTTCAACCTAATGAAATGTAGTTCCATGTTAAAAAATTTTTTTATATATAATTTTTGTTTATATTAAATTTTTTATAGAGAAAAATTATTTAAAATTTCTTTTTTTTGTTACAGGTGACACATAAATTAACTTACCAGGTTGATCTGACTCTTCGACTGGTTTAGGTAAAAAGAGTTCTTTAAAGTGAGCTTTGCAGTAAAGTGTACTTTCGTGGCTTTGATAATTGTCAACGCTAAGTTGTTTACTACATTGAACACATCGGAAACAATTCTTGTGCCAAACTAATCCTTCAGCCTTGGTTTGTTCCATTTGAAATACAACTTTCCCACAACTACGACAATTTGGATTTGCATCACCGTTTTGGCCTACCTGTAATTTAAAAAAAAAAATATTTATATATATATATAAACCATCATTATAATCAAGCTGACAATATTATTGACGATTTGTCTTCTTTCCTAGAATATTCAAGTCATTTTATTATTTCCATAAAGCAAAAACCAGTTTTCAACGGGACACCGCGTTTCATCTCTCATACATGCAAAAAGGATAAACAGCTTACAAACTTTCGTCCTTTCTTATCCGCATTTGTTTTTCACTTGTAAATAACATACGAGAAACGGTGCATTCAGGCAGACTTATAAATCGACGACGAGTTTGTCGAGTGTCAGTCCTCGATGAATATTTCCAGTAAAACAACATCAGATTTACACATTCAAAGGAGATTATCTTTCTTTTCATTGTCAATTATAACTGTCTGATTTATTTAATATAATGGCGTAAAAAATTACGTTCTTTTATTTTTTAGAAAGTTTATAAATATAAGGGGTAATTTTTATATTCCGGACACCCTAAATTTTTTTTTTAATTACACTTTTTTTTATTTAAAAAAATTGAGATTAAAAAATTATTCAGAAGGCCCGGAACATAAAAATCACCCTGTATATTGTAATGATCCTTATTGGTAAAAAAAATGTCTTTCATTCTTTCGGAAAAAATATATTAAAAATTTTCTTTCACTTTTGAAAATTCGTCATAGAAAAAATTTGTAATTTTTTTTTAAAATTACTTTACAACACCAAAATATATGAATTAAATAAACTAAATTTTTAAATAACAGAATTTTTACTTAACTGAAATTTCAATTGACTGAATTTTTTTCTAATGGAAAATTATATTTTACTTTAATAATAATTTTTATTTATTCACTTTTTTATATTTACAAACATATAATTCCAACAAAATAACAAACATTTTATGAAAATTTTCATTTAAAAATATTTCTAATTGATAATTAATTAATTTCGACTAAGACGAATTTTTGAATTCCATTTTCCCAAATCTTTATTTAAGCAAATTTATTAAAATTGTTATTTGATAAAATTTTTAAAACGTCGAAATTTTGTATTTGACAAAACTTTTCAAATTCCTGAATGTAAAAATTCAACAAAAAGATTTCGGCAAGAATTTAAAAATTGTTCCGAATTTCAAAAAAAAAAAATAAAAATTTATTTTTATTAAAAATTTGAAGTTTGAAAAAAATTGAAATTCTGCTAAATGAAAATTCGGTTTTATTAAAAAATTTTTTCAATGAAAATTGAATTAAATATAAAAATTCTGCTTAATGAAAAATTCGCTCAAATAGAAATTCTATCAAATATATTAATTAAAAATTTGTAAATTTAAATTTAATTTAAAAATGATAAATATTTTTTGGTTAAAAAAAATCGTTTTTAAATAACAAAAGTTATAGATTCAGTGAAATGGAAATTTTTCTAAATTAAAATTAGATTAATTATAGAAATTCTATTAAATATAATAATTTAAAATTTTTAATAAAAGCGAATTTTCAAATTATACCTAATTTTTATTCAATAAAAACATTTTTTTTTTAAATGAAAATTTCAATTTTTGGGTGAAATGGAAATTCTGCTAAATGAAAATTCGGTTTTATTAAAAATTCTTTTAAATGAAAATTGAATTAAATATATAGTTAAATTTACTTAAAATTTATTAAAAAAATTTTTTTCAGAAATTTAACGTTTAAAAATTTTAATTAAAATTTACTTTAAAAATTGTAACAAATTTATATTTGATAAAAAAAAATTTTTCGTTATTTTTGCAAATTTTACACTAGTGAAAAAAAATAAATAAAGAACGCAAAAGAAAATGAAATGAGAAAGGTTATATAAATAATTTGCAATCAATAAATTTCGTGCATCTGATTATCAAAGCATTAGCGATGCACCTTACACCGTTTCCTGTGTGAACAATAGATTCGATTCAGACGAACTTAAATCTGATTGCCTAACCATAATACTTAAGTTAAAATGATTGCCAATTTAGTTTCTACACCCATAATTATCTGAATTAAACTCACGGCATTTAGTTGTTGTTGAACTTTTCCCGCGTCCACTGATCGAACGTGAAGAACAGACTTTTTGCTAAGAGCGTCGAATTTGTTGAAACTCGATTTCTGAAATTGATAAATAATCACATTAACATATTTAATAGAAAGAAAAAGAGAGGATAAATATGTCTTGAGTCCTTTTTATGCAATAACTGCATATTTAAAAAAAAAAAAACAGCGAACATTTTGGTTTTTGAAAATCCCTAAAGTATAAGGTTATAAATTAATCAAAAAAGTTCCATCAACTTTAATCATTAAAATAAATCAATTTCATCATTTTTTATACATTTTTGACAAAATTTCAATCTCAACCTCATGTTCCACGAATGCTCTACGAATATTTGTGGAGCATTCGCATCATGCAATCCGCAAGGGCAAATATAAATTTATTTTAATAAAATTTTGATTCATATACAACCTCGTGAATATTTTTTAGGGATTCAATAAAACTATTTTATATAATAAATGGAAATAAAGTCTCATTTTTGAGGCATGGAAAACATAACCTCTTGACAGATACACTGTATAACTACGTAAGTCAAATAATCGTCTCAAAAAGAAAATATAGTGACCGACACCCTGGGCATACTTTCAACTTTAAATGACATTTTATTGAAATTTATTAAAGATTTAGTTATAAAATAAATTTCAAATAAAACATTTGGGTTATAATTTATAGTACATAAGTTTAAAATTAAAAAACACTTTGATAAGAGTTTATAATATTAATTTAAAAATGTATAGTATGAAAACAGTAAACGACATACTCTTTAATAAAATAAAAAATATTTAAACTACTATTTAAGTAACATGATATTTATTAATATATTATCACAAATTTTATTATTCAGATTTAATGTACAAAAAAAGTTGCTTTTAAAATATAATTATTTAACAATGTCTTCATATTTATAAAATTTGTAATCAATAAAGCAAATTTTTTGAGGTTAGTTTTCTAGAAAGTAAAATATTGAGGAAAATATAAACATATAAAATTTTGTGTCAACTGTATCAGTTTCTAAATATTGTATATTAATTAGTTTACTAGTGATATTTAATTCAATATTATTATTTTTATATAGTTATTATCGTTTTTAATAGTAGTTGTCGTTCACTGTCAGGTTGGAGCATGAAATAGTATAAAGGTGGTTTAAGAATAGGTGCAAAAGCCAAGTACAAGTGCAAGTCCAAGTGGCAATCTCATGAGTGCGAAGGGGATAGGTAGTCTATCTATCCCTCTTGCATATCATAGGAGTTTAAAGTTATCCCTCTTGCACTCATGGGATTTGGACTTGAACTTGTACTTGCGGCTTTTGCACCTATTGTAGAACCTCCATAAGGAGACATACATTGAAAGTGGACCAAATTTTGGTAACCGCTTAGTGTCATGAAAATACGTAATGGAACACAAGCGCTCTCGTGGGAAGTACACTAAAACGTCAATCGAGAACAGACGAATGTGCAGTGCTGTTCTCATAGAGATAATATAAATAGAGTGGAGATGGTCTGTATAGAGGCGTCCGTTTGATAGAAAGAGAACGCGATTTTAGCACCAGTAGGTGTCTCTCTTGCGCTGGTGCTTATTGAAGGACAGATACTGGTGTTAAATCTTTCTTCTCTTTCCAACCCATTCTGTTTATGTCAGGACACTTCCCTCTTACGCAGCCGCCTATACCTTGTCTACTCTATTTATATTATCTCTATGGCTGTTCTCGATTGACGCGATTTTTATCCATAGAGATAATATAAATAGAGTGGAGATGGTCTGTATAGAGGCGTCCGTTTGATAGAAAGAGAACGCGATTTTAGCACCAGTAGGTGTCTCTCTTGCGCTGGTGCTTATTGAAGGACAGATACTGGTGTTAAATCTTTCTTCTCTTTCCAACCCATTCTGTTTATGTCAGGACACTTCCCTCTTACGCAGCCGCCTATACCTTGTCTACTCTATTTATATTATCTCTATGTTTTTATCGCTCGAAAATAAAAACACTCAGGGCCGTATGAAGTGCCTTACGCAACAATGTGAATTTTATCTAGGGGATTTTCACTATTGGGCATTGAATCCACCTTAAATTTAAAAATCACAAGTACGACTCTGGCGTCAGTCATAACCTAAATTCTACCCGCTTCCCTACTTCCTCTCAAGTGTTCCCTTGCTCTGTTTTCGATTGACGTTTTAGTGTACGTTGAACATAACCCAAAAATACATTACTCCTTATTTTTAAAACTTTTACAATGGCTGACTGTCCAGCTGAGTTTAACACAATCAGTAGCGCTAATGTTCCTTTACGTATTTTCATGACACTAAGCGGTTACAAAAATTTTGTCCACTTTTAACGCACATTTAACATGGCCGTTCGGTCTCCTTATATTACTCCATGGGTTAGAGTTACATGTTGATGTAAATGCAGAATGCAAAACCGAAAATAATGAGAGTGAAAAGAATAGTGCGATATATCCCTGTCCTTTTCACTCTCATTTGTATTTTCGGTTTTGCATTCTGCATTTACATCAACATGTAATTCCATCCTCAGGGTGTCGGGCACGCAGTATGTAGAAAAAATAAAGTAACTAGTTTTTTTTTATAAAAGTACTAGAATTTGCGCATGCGCGGTAGTATTTATAACATCGTCTGCAATAAAATGTGATTTTTCTCACGTTTTTCATGCCTCAAAAAGTGAGACTTTATTTATTTTATATAAATATGATACATGTTCTTGAAAGCTGAATTTATAGAATAGCGACGTTATTACGACACTTTATCTTCAGCTAATTTCTATTTTTATATATATGTATTATATAAAAGTTGTTAATTTATTGGGATAAAATGAGGGAACAAAATAAAGGATTATTTCATTTTCAGCACAAAATCTTACCTTATAATAAAAATTTTCATGTGATTGGACCTTCTCCTTACCACATTCCGTTAGATTAGCCAAACTACAGTAGGAAGCCCTCTGTTCGTAGACCATATAAACCAATTTCATGCACGTATGTAAAGAGAAAAGCAGTGACTTGTTAGTGTAGTAATCAGTAATTTGAGTATTATAAGGATGTAGCGGTCAGGTGAATTGAAAAGTTGTTCAAAGTCTCTCTTAAAATATGTATATATATATACATTTACAATTGTAGCTGCTTCATTTATAACACACAATTTAATATTGATAGAAAATTAGTTTTACTGATTTAAATATTGTTTAGGTTTTAAAATGAAAATACCTGTTACGATTATTTTGGTTTAAATTTATATTTTCTTCAAATTATAAGTGTTTACAGATCCTTATCAAGGTTTTTTTCATCTGTAATTATTATAACAGAATTTGCAAAATAAGATTTCACCCAGATAGCATGTAAGCTTGCAGCAACCTTGCGGCAAGCTTCAAATGTCCTACCTGATCAAAGCTTGCATGGTAAGTTTACCGAAAGATTGCAGTGTAAGGTTACTGAAAGATTGTACAATAAGATTATCGCAAGATTGCTCAGTAAGCTTGCACTGTATGATAGTAGCAAGGTTAGTGCAAGGTTGCCAATTAACCTTGCTTTGAACCTAAACACTGAAATGAAAATTTTAGGTTTAAAGCAAAGTTATTTGTCAGCCTTGCACCAAGCTTGCTACAAGCTTACTGAGCAATCTTGCGATAATCTTATTGTGCAATCTTGCAGTAACCTTACATTGCAATCTTTCGGTAAGCTTATCATGCAAGCTTGGGTCAGTTGGGACATTTGAAGTTTGCAGTAAGCTTGCGGCAAGTTTGCCATGCAAGGTTGGCAATATTGCTCGGAAAACTTTCCGCAAGATTGATTTCGACAATAAAAACTTTTAAAAATCAATTTTTTTTGAAAAAATGATTATTTTTCATTAAAATTAAGTTAAAAAAGTAGAAAAAATCTCGTGTCAATAATTTTTTTATTATTTTGGCAAATGTTTCAAAATGTTAATTTCGAAATTGAAAAATTTTGAAAATCAATTATTTTTGCAAAAATTATTATTTCCCATTAAAATTAAGTTAAAATAGTAGGAAAAAATAGTTTCAATAATTTTTTTCATCATTTTTGCAAATTTTTGGATAAAGTTTGAAAAAAATTATATATAATATTAATAAATTTAATATATTTTCAGTAAAAAATAAATATTCCACCTTCTCCAGAAATTGTAAATGTCTTATTTATCAATTTCTATTACGAAATTAGATGATTGCCTTTAATGATTTCATGAATTTTTTACCACACTTATGGAATGTGTTTATTTTATACAATAAATATAATATATGAAAAGGTCACGTGCATGGGAAACAAGAGAATAATAATAAAAAAAAAAAGAAAATGAAAAAGTACACAAAATGTTTATATAGTGTCAGTATGATAGGACCATAAAGCAGATTTCCTAAAATGTATATAATATTTATTCGCAATCTCAGCATTACTATATTATATCCCAAAACAATAGAGTATATATAATAGCAACAATCAAATGAAATGTGCACAAAGGCATTTATATAAAAAGCCAATCCTTCGACACAAATGGAATTATAAAATGTGTTCACCATTCAGACTTTAAGGTGCAACTTAAAAGAAAAATCGACGGTTCGTTAACTCCTGGCGAAAGCGTATAATGAGAAATATTAGCATATTTAATTACAGCCAGTAAGTGCCATATTATAAATTAACTTATAGTATTTATACTGATTCAGCATGTAATTTAATACTATTTCTATAAAATAAATATAAATATTCATTTATTAAAGGTCATATGTGACGCTCCACGAGAAAAGGTAAAGGACTAGGCAAACAATTTTAAGGTTATGTTTGGATTGAAAATACAAAAATCATTTTCAGTTTTGAGGTTATGTTAGGGCCTTCAACTTCTTTGATTCCCTTTGTTTTATTTTCAATCCAAACATAACCTTAAATTTTTTCGCCTCAAAAAGGTCCCTTTTCTCGTGGAGCATCATTGAAATATTCAAATTGAAAAATTTCCAAAAAAAAAGTTGGATAAAAATAAAATATTTTTATTTGAACTTGAAAGTGTATCATAAAATGAATTTTTTACGAATGAGAACTCATATACAAAAGATATAATTACTGTCTCGCCGCCAATAGTTAAAGAGAGAGAAAAAAAAAAAAAAAAAAAGATGAAGATAAAAGCAAAGTATTCTCAAAGATGCGCCACTTGAAGCCTGAAGGTACTTACGAGGGCCTTGACAGACACACCAGTGAATATCGGTTTGCGATTGATGAGCTGCGAACGCTCCTGCTCCCACAGTCTCAAGTCACTCATAGATTTTGCTTTCTATGACGTTCGATACAGACATTCAAACATATCGACAAATTGTAAATTAGTAGAAAAAGCAAATAGTTTATGTTATGGAAACAGTATTTCTATGTCATTAATCAGAATTAATAATTAGCAGCCAAATTGTTAATATTTTATATAAGAAAAAGTTGTAGAAAAAAACAACTAAACACTGTAAAAATCTATTTTAGATTTATGATTCATAATTTTTATATTTTTAAAATGTTCGTATTATATTTTTTAAACATTTTAAAAAATATAATACGAATTGAATTATTTTTTTTACAGAGTGTAGTGTAATGTATATTTAATGTAGAAATGCTAATAATTCGATATTTCCAAAACATTCTTTTTAGTAAATAATAAGAAACCCAAGATCATTATATTATTGAGCTTATTAGTTGGAAAAGCAACAAAAAAAACTACATAGATAAATTAATGTTCGAGCAAAAAACGCTTCATTCAAATAAACTTAAAATGACCCTCCACGAGAAAAGGGACTTTAAAAGCAAACATTTTTAGGTTATGTTTAGTGCTAGTTTTAGTTTAATTAAACGTTTATTTTTAATATATGTAAACTAAAAATCAGTTTCTATTGAATATTTCAGATCTAAAGAAACATTAGTTTTTAATAAAAAAAAATTACAAACATAACCTAAAACATTTTTCATCTAAGGTCCCTTTTCAATTAGAGCGTCACACATAGATGAAAAAGGGAGCATAAAGGAGTAGTTTTTAACGTATTTTTTTCAATAAGAGTTTTCGTTTAGTATTAAGAGGATTTAAAGAAAACAATTAATTTTGTAAAGATGGTAATTATTTTTTTTAATATAAATCCACATTTTATTTTTAAAATCATTAAAACATTAGCTTTTCGTCCGTAAACGTCCGGGCCCTCTTCGGATTTAAATATTGCAAAAATAAATTGATTTTATACAACAAAAATATATAAAATTTAAAATGAAAAATTTTTGTTAGAGAAATAACTAATCTAAAATGAAAATCTAAGAGTATAATTATTTTAAAAATCGAAATTAAAAAAAGTAGATTCAAAATATTTAAGGAAACTTATAATAAATTACAAAAATAAAAATGACAAATATATAACCTCAAACTGACCAAAATGTATTTATATAAAAATAAAAAACATAACCTCAAACTCACTAATATGGATTTCTCTTTTCATTTAATAATTTAAGGCCTGAGCAGAATAGAAACGTAATCGAAATCGTAACCTCAAACGCAACCGGAATAATGAGTTAGAGAAGGACAAACAATATGTCTATCTTTCTCTAACTCATTCTTCCGGTTGCGTTTGCTATTAAGATTCCGGTTACGTTTATATTCTGCTCAGGCGTTAAATGAGAGGAGAAATCCATATTGGTAAGTTTGAGGTTATGTTTTCAATTTTTGCTTTAATTTTTGTAATTTATTATAATTTTCCTTAAATATTTTGAATCTACGTTTTTGAATTTCGATTTTAAAAATAATGATACTTTTAAATTTTTAAGTTATTTTTCTAACAACAAATTTTTATTTTAATTTTTAGATATTTTTGTTGTATAAAATCAATTTATTTTTAGTATTTAAATCCGAAGAGGCCCGGACGTTGACGGACGAAAGCTCATGTTTTAAGGATTTTAAAAATAAAATGTGGATTTATATTTAAAAAACAATTACCATCATTACTACTATTCTGAAATCCAAAAAAATTAACGTTTATAAGAAAAAAGAAAAACAAAAATTTTTTAAGGTTAGTTTAGAATGGAAGCATGTATAATTTCACTGGAAATTCAGTAGAACGTCCGAAATATGCCATATCTTTATATTTTTGACACCTGCCTCACTCTGCTTTTCTGAACTCTAGTTCCCCGCTCTGTATCGAAAAAAACCTACCATTCCCTGCAAAGTGTCACAATTCAGATGTTCCACTGATTATTTTATATTTATTATCTAGGCTCATTTTGGGAAATTAATAAGGTTTTGTAAAATACCTAATAATTTGGAAAAGAAATTTTTTTTCCCCAATATTTTATATGAAAAAAAAAAAAAATTCAGGGTTTCGGGAAAGTATCATTTCAAACTTGTTTGATGAAGAAACCATAAAATACCAACCTCCTGAGTCTTGGCGTGTTCAGAATTGCCGAGTGGCACTTGGTCTCCATCGCTCATGTTTGAGATGTCGCCAAAGCTGCGACACTGTTAGTCATAAAACACATTTTGGGTAAACACGGACATTGAAGCAAATTATATGAAATTAAATCAAGCTTATAAATTTCAGCAAAATATTTCATAATGAATCTTGTTAACATAATTTTAAGCACTTGTTGTTTTTGTAAATAGCATTTTAAGAAGCAAAAAAAACAATTGTTTTCTTTTAAAATCACATTAATAAAAATATATAATAATATAATCATCGAAAACAATGACTGATGAAAGTTGATAAAAAATGATGTATAGATACAGTAATACGGGATGAAAATAATGCATAACGAAATGTAGATTACAGTACGATATAAAACTTGATAGAAAGTTTTTGCGATACTATCGGTTATATATGTTACAAATTATCTTTAATCAGATGTTTAAAGATTAATTGAGTCGGTATCAAAAATACACAAAATTATTTTTAATAGATTGAACATAACATAAATATTGTTTTTTTTATATTTAATTTTTTTGCTTTTATTCTTTTAATTATTTTTAAATTTTCTTTAACTGCATTTTTATTGAGAAAAATAATTTTTTTACTTTAACCCTTTCGTGCTTCGGGAAATCCATCGATTGGATTTTTATGAAACTTGTTACTCGGAGGTTTTTGGGGTCGCTGATTACAAATCTGATGTTACTTTTATAAAATTCAAAATGGCGGAACCAACATGGCGGATATATTTTTTTAAATTTAACAGTTTTGCTTTAAACTCGTTAATTTGAGGTTTTCAAGGTCGCTGATTACGAATCTGATATTGGTAATTTGTATTGATTTTTAATTTTCCTCTCCGCCATATTGGATCCGCCATTTTGAATTTTGAATAACTGACTTTGAATTCGTTATCAGTGACCCCAAAAACCCTCGAGAATCAACTTTCAGGTGAATCTAATAATTTTTTTCGTCCGCCATATTGGATCTGCCATTTTGAATTTTGAAAATCTGACTTCAGATTTGAAATCAGCGACCCCAAAAATCCCCGAGTAACAAGTTTCAAGCAAATATGCTCAAATTTTAAAAAAAGGGTTTTTTTTACCAATATTATACCTATTGTTTATAAGAATTATAATTGTACTATGTTATTTACCATTTTTTTCTACAAAGTAGTAATAGCAGTGAACAAAACACATAGAAAAAAAGGTGGGTAAAAAAATTGTAAAGATAGAGGATAAAAGTCGTTAGGATACAGGGTAAAGGATAAATTTGTGATGGATAAAAATGTTACTAAAATATTACTAGAAAAATGAATGTCATATTTGAGTAAACTGTCTAATTTTAATAAAAATATTAGTAATTTTACACTTAACTTATTAAATCCACAAATTTTATATAAATAACTAATTGCACATGGAAATATTTTGCCTATAATTATTGTCTATTAATAAAAATATCTTTGACTAATACAACTGACAGCTGACGACAGTGCGTAAATAATCAGAACTGGGAAATTACAACTCAACGTCTGTATTGTTGCACGAAAGCAGAGTTGGGTAATAAATGAATTTTTTGTGCATATTAGGCTGTGTCAGTTCATCGAGATATTTCGAGTTCAATATATGACGTCAGAGGCCTGGAGGGACAACAAACAGACGACACAATGTTATTCTTATGGGGAAGAAAATTTGTTTCCACTTTCATCAATGTTATTCATACTTTAAACACGGAAAACGCTTGTTGACATATAATAAAATTAAAATGTGTGTTGATAATTAATTTTGTTATATATTTGATTCAATTGCATTTATAGATTCTCTGAATTCGTGATAAAATATAAATTTTGAGGTTAGAAAAGTTTGTTTACTAACTTGAAATCTTTTACTGCTGCGGTAATTCCCACTTAAAATATATATTTTATATCTTTTTTAATAACATGCATAATGGATATTGTTTAATAATGTTAACATGTAAAATGTGATTAGTAAACAAACTTTTCTAACCTCAATATTTATATTTTATCATGAATTCAGAGAATCTATCAATGCAAATGAATAAAATATATAACAAAATTAATTATCAACACACATTTTAATTTTATTATATGTCAACAAGCGTTTTCCGTGTGTAAAGTATGAATAAAATTGATGAAAGTGGAAACAAATTTTCTTCCCCGTAAGAATAACATTGTGTCGTCTGTTTGTTGTCCCTCCAGACCTCTGACGTCATAACTTGAACTCGAAATATCTCGATGAACTGACACAGCCTAATATGCACAAAAAATTCAGTTACTACCCAACTCTGCTTTCGTGCAACAATACAGACGTTGAGTTGTAATTTCCCAGTTCTGATTATTTACGTACTGTCGTCAGCTGTCAGTTGTATTAGTCAAAAATATTTTTATTAATAGGCAATAATTATAGGCAAAATATTTCCACGTGCAATTAGTTATTTATATAAAATTTGTGGATTTAATAAGTTAAGTGTAAAATTACTAATATTTTTATTAAAATTAGACAGTTTACTCAAATATGACATTCATTTTTCTAGTAATATTTTAGTAACATTTTTATCCATCACAAATTTAACCTTTACCCTGTATCCTAACGACTTTTATCCTCTATCTTTACAACTTTTTACCCACCTTTTTTTCTGTGCAAACCAGCGTATTTGTTGATTCGTTCAAATTTAAAAGAGTTATGTCATATTTTGTAGGTGGTACCTATGTACCGGAGGCGCGAAAGATTAAATACAGAAATTTTTTGTTTTTTTATTTGAGCAAAAAAATTTTTTTTATATTATATTATATTATAAATAATTAAAATAATAAAAATAAAAACATCGAATGTGAAAATAACAATAATTGTTTTTGTTAAATCCAGATTTTTTTTTTATTTTGATACCGACTTACTTTTCTTATTTTAATATATATATATATATGAATAATGACTTTCAGTGATCTGCAAAATAATTTTACATTTAAAGCAATCAGTTTTTTTTTGCAATATTTATTAAACAAAAATTAAAGAAAAAAAAATTTTTTTTCACGCGTGCATCACAGACACTGAAAGCAACATTAATATCGAAGCTTGAACTACAAAAATATTTATATATATTGAGCAATGCAAAGATTTCGAAAAAAAATATTAATCATTTTTAATGTTTACTCACCAATTGCTTAATAGAGATTCCAGTGGCAATTACTTCTTTATGGGATTTCTCCAGTTCGCTACGATTTGCTTCTGACACGTAATTTTGTGTCTGCATGCGCGCACAAACATGACAAAAAAAGAACAGAATATTACTTCATGCGCAATTTTATAAATCATGCTTTGTAAATTTAGTGTTTGTTATATACTCGAAATAAATGATTATTTAAATGCATATAAAAGTTAGTTCAAGAAATAAAATTAGAGAAAGTAATTTAGTTCACGATTTTTAGCAAAAAAAAAATAAATAAAATAATTATTCAACAATTCATATAATGATTTTTTAATAGTTACAGTGATTTTAAAAATAAAATATAATTATTAATGCAAAAGAAAAGTGGTCAGAAAGTTTTGTTTAAAATATTTTTACGGTTTTTTTTTTAATTTTAATAACAAAATATTTAAATATAAAAATTGACTCAAGGTTGATATGAATAAATTGAACAATAATTATTGACATTGTGTAAATAAATAAAATTAATAGATAAAGAATGAAAATTATTTTTTTATTTATACCTTATTTAATTCTATACCTTGTGGCAATTTTAATATTTAAATAATTTTTTTATTAAAAATAAAAAGAACCGTAATAATATATATACAAATATTGCAGGCCTCGGATCGACTTTAAGACACACAAAAAGTCGTTTTAGTCGATTTATATTCTCGAAAAAGTCGATTTCTTTATTTTAACAAAATTTAATTGGTAAGTGAATATTTTACTTTAAATAACTAATGTTATTTTATTTTTAATTTTTATTAATTCTGTAATGAGAATAATTCTATACAGATATTATCAAGAAAATTTATTTCGAATATTTCAGAATCGAACTAATTTTACGACAAATTTTAAAAATTTTATTTAAGTATGCCAAATTTCTAGAAAAAAATTCTTAAAGTTCCATTTTTATAATTTGTTGAAGTCTGATTTAAGCAATTTATTCGAATTAAAAATTTTGTCATAGTTTTTAGTTTTGATGGTTGAAAAAAATTTCGGGCAATACTTAATCAAGTTTTACAGATTTAAAAAAAATAATTTTTTTTTAAAATAATAATTTTGAAATATTTTAAGTTGAAATTTTTAGAAATAATTGAATTTCAAAATATTTTGTTAATTTTCAGACAATAAATAAATTTTACAGAACTAAAAGTAATTTATCAAATAATTTGAGATAATATTTTTTAAAAGTAATTCAATATTCAAAGATTTACAATTTAGATTTTTGAAATTAATTAAAGTTCAAGTGATTTTTAATTTAAAATTTTTGATGATTAGTTACTAAAAAATTTATTAGAAATTGCAGACAAAAATACTATAATTTGAAAACTTTTTAAGTAAAAAATAATTTCAGATAGTTGAATTTTAGAAGCTTTGAATTTTTTTTTTGAAAATAATAATTGAATTTCAAATAATTTTTTTTTAATTTCAAACAATAATTATAATAAGAATTTTTTTTTTAGTGATTTCTATTGATGAAGACGTTTTTAGAAATCACATAAAAAAAAATTGAATTCCAAAATTTTTGCAAATAATTAAATTTCAAGTGATTTTGAATTAAAATTTTTTGGTAATTTTATTTGCTAATTTTTTTAAAATTATAAATAATTATTAAATTTCATAAAAATTTTTATTGAAAAATAGTTTAAGATAATTAAATTTGTGAAGAATTTCATTAAAATTAATAAAAATAATTAATTTAGTGAAGAATTTTAGTTAAAAATTTGTTAAATAATTGAAATAAAGAAGATCTAAAGAAGATTTGCATTGTACACTAAAAGAAACGTATTTTGTTTAAAATTTTTTTTTTTTAAAAAAACTGTAAAAAAAGTCGAAAAAGTCGTATAATTCGAGGCCTGCTATTGTTATTACGACTGTATAATTTTTTTATGATTAATAATAATTAAATTAAACGAGAAATTTATATTTAGTAAAATGTTAATAATGTTAAAAATTTACTACTGACAAGTTGTAATGCTTCTTTAATTATACAATTTAAACGAAACTTTCTGATAATTCCACGCGGTCGTCAATGAGACATTAAAAAGACACATTTCATCTTTCTCTCGCGAAATTTAAATTTATTGCCAGGCTCATGCAAAATAAACTTTGCTAATTTCCTCTAACTTCTGGCATTCCGGCTTACCAGAGATTTAACGTTGACGTTGGAAAGATCGTTCTCGTCGGAGATTTCATTTGTCTCCGAGGAAACTTGACGGGAACTCGTATGCATGCTTGAATCTTCTACGTTACCGTTCTAATAAAAAGAAGTAAAACAAGCATTCACTGGCATGCTACACTTTGCAAAAGAAAAAAAAAGGGGAAAAAATTTATAATGTTACAACACACATTTATTTTACAAGCTCAAATAAAATTAAAATAGGGATCAGTACAATATTAAAAAAAAAAAAAAATGAAAAAGTACTTTATTTTACTTAATTGCATAAAAATTAAAAATAATCCCATATATAGAAATTTTTAATACGATTCTCGCTCATCACATTTTTGTTTCATAATTTACTTATTTTCCCTGACAAAAAGAAAAATTTTTCCGCAATTTTTTTTACAAGTTTTATTTTGGTATAAGATATTAAAATAAGGACCCAAAAAGATTCAATAAATAAAAAAAGCTACTTCTACAAAATTGAACAAAATGTAAATATTATTATTTTTACATTCAATTTTTTACTTTTTATTATAATTATTTATAACTTTGCTTTAATTGCTTTTTTAAAATGAGTTTTCGTTTTTTATTTTGAACATTAAAACTTTTTATTTATTATTTGTTATTTTTTACATAAGATTTTTTTTATTAGCTAAATAAAAATTACAAATAATAATTAAAATAACAAAAATGTTAAAACATAGAATGTAAAAATAATAATATTTATGTTTTGTTCAATCTATAAATAAATAATAATAATTATAATAATAAGTAAATAATTAAAATAACAAAAGTAAGAATTCTTACATTTGTTATTTTTTAATTATTTACTTTTTTTCTTAAATGTTTTTTTAAATTGAAAACAATTATTTTTAAATAAATAAATAATAACTAATAAATTGAAAAAACTTTTATATAAAAAATAACAAAATAAAAAAAAATTTCAATTTTTAAAATAACAAACAAAATGTTTTTTTCAACGTAAAAAAACAGTTAAAGAAAAATTATAAATAAATAAAATAACAAAAGTAAAATCATCGAATATAAAAATAATATTTATGCTTTGTTTAGTCAACAATTTTTTTGGGAAAAATTTTATATATTTTTGATACTGTACAAAATTTTCACTAATTTTTTTAGTAAAATATTATTATTTAATTTAGAAAAAAATTCTCGTTTTTTTTTCTACAATAATTCTATTAGAAAAAGAATGAAACTAGAATAAATAGAAAAAATTTCTATACATGGGATGGTATTAAAAATAACTCAAAAATATTACACATGGAATTTAAAAAACAAAATTTTTTTTTTTTGATAAAGTATAAATCATACCTTAAGATTTGATGATAAATTTTTCATAGTTCTGGATATGTTAGTAGCTCTCTTTGTATTTTGTAATAAATTTTATTGATTGTTTTAATTAGAATTTAAAAAAAAAGTAAATAAATAAATTGACTTACCACGGAGATATTTTCCTTTTCAAGCTCACTCTTTTTGCTTTTTTTAGTTTTCTTGGTTCGAGGGGTGTGATTTGGCGATGCATCGCTACCAGCAATACCTTCGATTTTCTTCTTCTTCGTCTTCGTCGCGGTTTTTGTAGTTGAAGTTGAGGTAACTACCGTACTGGTAGTTAACACTTCTTCACGGTTTTCACTCTGCATGAGAAAAGATAATAATCGTTATTTTTATATTGATTATCTAATTTGTGTTCATTTTTTAATTATAATATTTTAATGTGAATAAATAATTAGCAAAGAAAACTAATTACGTGTATTACTATATATTACTTGAGTGTTATAACAAAAATAATTCCGATTAAATATATAAAACTGCTATCTCGCAGGCTATTTATAGCCTATATATAGATATGATCTAAAAATATAAATATCATTTTTATATTTTCAAATAGAAAATTTAAATAAATTTTAAAAATTTTCGTATTTTTATTTTTAAAAAATGCTATTTAATTAACCCTTTCCGTGTCAGTGACCTAACGTTGGGTCGTAAACATCTTATCACAAAATGTAATGCAATTTGTTATAAATTGCAAAATTATATTTTTTACATCATCTTTGGCACACTACAGATATTACTGACTCTAGGTTTTACAATAATGGAGTAATTATTTATTAACTAATGTTAATTATATAACAATTGGAAAACAAGTAAAAATCACGAAAAAAAATTTATTTTTTGATTTAACCCACATTTAGGGTATAAGGGTTTTCGGGGTCGCTGAATTCGAATATGATGTTAGATTTTCAAAATTTAAAATGGCGGATCCAATATGGCGGACGAATTTTTTAAAATTCAATCCAAATAGCTTGAAATTTGTTACTCAGGGGTTTTTGGGGTCGCTGATTACGAATCTGAGCTTAGTTTTTCAAAATTCAAAATGGCGGACAAATTTTTTAAAAATTGAATCCAAATGGCTTAAAACTTGTTACTCGAAGGTTTTTGGATTTCAAAATTTTAATATCAGATTTAAATTCAGCGACCCTAAAAACCCCCGAGTAACAAATTTTAAGCAAAATCCGGTTGATTTTTTTAATTTTTGACCGCCATATTGGATCCGCCATTTTCAATTCTTGAAAACTAACATCGCATTCGTACTCATTGACCCCCAAAAAGTAAAAACGATTGTCAAATTGTAGTACGCAACGTTTATCATTAACGATTTTTAAAGAAATAATTTTTTGAAATGAAAAATTCTATAATAATCAGAAGGTAACATAACCTAAAAATTGTTTTTGTTTTATAAATTTTTACTTATTATGTTTCATTTACTTAGTTAAATAAGTATATATTTTTCCTATGTAAAATATACTATTTTATGATAAAAAATTTACAAAATAAAAACAACTTTTAGGTTATGTTGCCTTCTATTTTTCCAGCTTGTAAATTTTCAACGTGCTGAAAGTTTTTTTTAACAGTGTGAGTATGATGGTCACTTTTTTTTCAAAATCCTGACGTAAAAAAAATTCTGTAATTTTCTACATCAGTCAATAATTGTCAAAATAGATTCAGTAAATTTTTTATTAATAGAAAATTAATTATTAAAAATGAATTTGAATATATTTTGATAAGCATTATTTTTGTAGACATCAAATTTTGGTTTGTCTAAACTTATAGAAATACCGCACAATAATTTTCATTTCTCTTTTACTTCAACGTGTTATTATATTTGTTTTTTTATCTCATATCTGTTTGTTTAAAGCCCCCTCTTTACTTTGCCACATATCTAATTAAAAAACTTATTCAAACTGCACCACAGTAGGTAGTAATCATGCAGTTTTCATTCCCTTTATTAAAATCCAACTTCTTCCCACATTATTTCTTTAGTTACTTTTAAGAATGACTTAAAACTTCAACACTTGGGATAATATTTATTTTAATAATATAAATATTTATTGCCAAAGAACTCGATTTTTGATGTTTTGTTTTGAAATAAATAAATTCACTTAATTACAATATGGGGCATATTCTATTTTAAAATTACACCCCTAGTAAACAATTGACAAAATATAAGACAATTTTTAAATAATTATTTCTCCTGTGTAATTATAAATTAAATTACTTTGCAATTGGTAGCTTCAAAAGAAAAATTGTATTAATTAATATATATCCTATTTTAATTAATTTTTTAAAAATATTTTACAATAATATTTTTTGGAAAAAAATATTTACAATTAGAAATCTCCTTTTGTCAGGAATTAATTTTATTAAACTTTTTTATTCAACAATATTTTATTAAAATTCCACAAATAACAATTTAACACACAAATTATTTACAATAAAATATTTAAAATTTATTATAATAATTTTTAAAAAATTTTATCCATTTGTGTAAAATATTTATTGTTTTCTCTCTTTAATGTTAAAAAGAAATAAATGATGATAAAATTTAAAAAAAAAACAAATTCCGCTCTGTTAAATAAGTGGTTCTTAATTCATACAAATTTCAACCCGTTTTAACTTCTGAAACTTCTGAGAAAGATCGTTGTGCATCAATTTTAAAAAATTTGATATTTTCAGAAATGCATCTGTAAGCTATCTGGAGTACAAAAAAAAAAAAATTATGTTAAAATTTCTGATATTCCTCTTTAAATATATGCGTTTAAGGGTATGTGGGAACCTCCCACGTGACCTCCCACTTGAAAAGATTCCCCGGAAAGTGCCCCCTGGAGGTTCTATCAGAATTCCGCCGGAACTTCCAATGTAATTCCCTCAGAATTCCATCGGAGTTCCAAAGAATTTCCGATGGGATTCCGACGGAATTCCGATTAATTTTTTTTTAAATTTTTAGAGTCCTAATTCTGTCGGAATTCTGATAGAACCTCCAGGGGGCACTTTCCGGGGAATCTTTCCAAGTGGGCTAGTATGGGAAAAAGTGTTTTGGTAGTATACATCTTACTCTAAAATGAAAAAAGATTTTTGCCTACAAGTTTGAGGGATGATAGATTAGGGTACAAGGAATCTCGCTGTTCTCCGAAAAATACATAATTTTGCGTTAAATTATTAAAAAATGAAGTTAAGTTATGGTAAATGAGTAGAACAGCGAGATTCCTTGTTCCAAACAAAATCATTTCTCTAAAATTGTAACCCGGAATCATTTTTTATTTCAGAGAAAGTTTTAAACCACAAAAAAACGTCCTTTGCCCACATACCCTTAAGGGGACTTTCTGGTTTAGAATTAACAAAAAAGACCTCTCTAAAGTTGAATCAGTAATGATTAATTTTTAGTCAAAAATAACTAATTCATTAGTTACTCTAATTTTTAGGTTATGTTACATGACTGAAAAATTAGTAGATTTATGTCTACCAAATATTTTAGTAATTTTTTTTTTACAAATAATTAGTCAAATTTGACTGTTAAATTAGTTGTTTTCTATTAAAAATTAGTTATTTTTTACGGGCCGATTCGTTCACGGTTTTACTGTAGATTAGTAGTTTTCTACTAATTCAGATTTAGAGAGTGCACGTTTTAAAAATTTTATTGCAAGAAAAGTATTAAAGAAGTTGCAAAAATTCTTTTTGGACATTGTTACACATTACGTAGAGAAAATTTAAGAAAAATAAAAATGAGTGTATTTAGTTCCATTTTGTAGCTGTAGATGGCGTCATCCAAAAGGTACCTATATTTTGGGAGACGGCTTTTCTCGAAATCTACCGAACCGATTTTAAAAAACCAAAGATCATTCGATTTCTTATTTAAAAAACTAGAGAATAAACCTTTAAAATTTCATATTTCTACCCCCTGTTTTTTACGGGGAAAAATTGCCCCAAAAAAACCGGCGTTTTTGCCAAATTTTGAGAAAAATGTACATAAAAAATACTTTTTTAGGTTTATTGTCTAAAATAAATCCTTATGAAGAGATTTCCGTTTGAATTTATATATTACAGATTAGGGGCCGTCCATAAACTACGTTACCTATTTTAGGCGGGGAGGGGGTCAAAAAATCTAAAAAAATGCATTTAACGCAATGGTAACGAGGGGGGGAGGGGGTCTAAAAAGAATGAAGAAGTGGTAACGTAGTTTATGGACGGCCCCTTATCCGAAAGCAAGTGCACCAAAAAAAAGGTACCTTTTGGAAGACGCCACATAGTTACGAAATTGAACTAAATACACTTAATCATTTTTTTAAAAATTTTCTCCACGTAATGTGCAACAATGTTCCAAAAAAGAATTTTTGCAATTTTTTTAATACTTTTCTTACAATAAAAATTTTAAAACGTAACTTTTTTGTCAATTCTGTACTATAGGGGTGTAATTTTAAAATAGAATACCCCATATATCGAGACAATTTCTCAGAATATTGAACTCAGTTACTTTTCATATAATCGTTAATTCCGCACGAATTCCCGTAATTAACTTTGAACATCCATCCCCTTAATACAGTGTATTGTGGAATGTCCACTGACTATCTTTCTCTCTCGCTAGTTACCACAACGAGCTTGTGCCAAATGATATCATTAAAGTCCTCTCTTCATGCAAACTGCAATGTGAAGATGCTAAATATCCATCGTCTATTTATTGCTTCGCACTGACCTGCGTTTCAAAGAGACTCGTGTGGCTGCTGCGATAAGTGTGTGTACACGATGAACGTGGAGAGCACTAACGACGAGTCAACGACTCGACGCACTCACTTCCATTCGGACAAGGAGGTCGTTGAAAGCATAAGATATACTATATATATATTTTTTTTTTTTTGAAAACTTCTCCGAGAAAAAGAAGAAAAAACAACTTGTTAAACTAAATAAATCATTGACCGGCACACGACTTTGTTTTTTTTTAATCGTTAAACGTCATTTGACTCCGGTGTCTGTCAGATTATGAGGAGGTTAGGGCGAACAACCGGGTGCCTGGACGAAGGCGACGCCGCAACTAAATCGGCCTTGAGGCGATTAAATGGGCTGGTAACGTATAATACACGAAACGAACGGGAAGCACCGGGAAACCCGTTCGTGAGCTCTACAAAGCGTGTTATGGATCCGAGTGAAAATCCTCTCTCGGATAGGGCCTTTCTCTAGGACTCGTGCATCAGATTGGTTCTGTTTGGGTCCGTTGTGGAGAGAGCGCTCTCGCTTGGTTCCAGTCACTGCCAAGGAGAGGGAACCAGCATATACATATATATAAAAGACATTGGTATGGCAA